GCCGGCCAGGGGCGCCCTGCGGCTGCGGCATGTGCGACCAGCTGCCCCATTGCCTCTGGAAGGTCCCTGGGCTTGGGCCATCGGCTGCCCCATGTGAACCCTTTAGCCTGGGGGGCTGTCCACCCCCCACGCCCGCCGATCCGCGGGCTGCGCAGATTTTTGGAAGATCGCTCGGCAGCGGGTCGCGCCGGAGATCGTCGGGGCACAGCTGGTAGCAAGCGGTCAGAAATAATGCCAGCGGCCAACGCTCTCGCCAAGGGCCCCAGGCAAAGACGAGAAGGCAAGACAATGCCATCATGCTGCCCCGTCGGGCCCGCGCGTTGGCAGGCCAGTTCGGGCCCCTCGGCTGCCATTCCGCAGGCGCTCTTGAGTCCGGGGCCCCGCTCGGCGCCGCCCTCGAGGTGGGCGACCGCAAAGTTTACCGCGCAGCTTCGATTCTAGAGAGGCTGATTGGGGTCTCGCCCTGGGTCAACACCCGAGCCGCGACTGGCCGATGGCCGCCGCTGTCGGATAGATACCTCCGCCCAGTCTGACCCGCGAGGGTAGCTGGCGAGAATCTGCCCGCTTCCGCGCGACGTCGGCGCCCGGGTCGGCCATGCCCTCTGCGGCAACGCGTTCGAGGGCGCGCGGGCGGTGGGCCGCGACGACGAGCCTCCTGAGCGGCGGGCGCGCCCCGGCTGACGACCTGCTCTGCCTGCGCGGCGCCAGCGGGAGGGTCTGCTCGCTCGTCGCCAGCGGTTGCCTGCTCAGCGCGCCCCCCCGCCCAGAGGCCGCGAGCGCGCGGCGCGGGGGGCCCGCGGCCAAGGGCGCGGCGCGCCAGGGGCGCCGGAATGCGCGCGCGTCGCAGTTCCACCGCATCTTCTCGCAGGCGTCATGGACCAGGGGGTCAATGGCGACGTCGAGGCGGCAGTTTTGCATCGGGGCCGCGGCCGGGTCGACGTCGCAGCGGCGGCGCCGCAGAGCAGCCGCGTCAGCGGCCGAAGTTGGAGAGCCATGCGGTTGACATGGGGTTGGCAGTGCCGAGTCCGACATATCCTTGAGCGTAGCGCCCAATCCGAGCAGAGGCGCCTGGCTTGCCGCTGCCTGGGGAGAGGGGCCCCGTCGCGCTGAGACAGCCCCGTGGCAGCTTCTTCTGCCGCGAGGCCTACGAGGGCTCGCGGTCGCCGCGACTCGCGCCGGGCGCCCAGTTTCCGCGCCCGATGCGTCTTCGACGCGTCGCCGCTTCGAGGGGGCTCGCAGCGGCGCCCACGCGCGCAGTGGCGCCATTTGCTGATGATGGGGTTCACCCGAGGGCGCGCGTCGCAGGGGCGTCTTTGCGCGTCAAATCCATGGGGCCCTTGCGCAGCCAACGAAGTCAATCTTTTCCACATATTGCCGCTGTTACCGTTCACTATCGTTGAACGCAGTTTCTGCCATATCGCGCATCTGATGTGCTCTGACGTGGCAGACGCCTGGCACCACGTCGTCTGGCGCGCGCGCCGCGGCGGTCAGAGGCACTGCGCGCTTTTCGGGGGTGGGCGGGCACGAGGCGGAGCAGGAGAGGGGGGGCTCCGACGGGGGGAGAGCGCAGCTGACTTGGGCCACTCCGTGTCTGAAGCCATTCGCTCGCCGCCCGGCGTCCCCGCGCTCGGAGGTTCGCGGGCGCGCGTGGGCCATCGGAAGGGGGCGAAAGGGACCAGGCAGAGGGGGGCCCTCCTCGGCCCAGGATGCACCAAAGATGCTGCGGCACGTCGGTGGGTTTATGCAATGTGGATGTGCGCAGTTCGTGGGGGCAGGATTCCGCCGCGGGATGTCGGCGGGCGCATTTGTTTTTTTTCAGCGGCGCGAACGACGCGAAGTTCGGCGGGGGCGAATTCGCCCGCTCGGAGCAAGCCCCCCGCCGACGCTGCCTGCCGCTCGATGCGCGTAGCCTACGAGCTGTGTTCGAAGTTCTGGCGGGCACAGGGCCCGCCCCCGCCGGAGCGGCCACGCGGCTTCCCGCTGCCGCGATCCCGCGGTCTGCGGGGTCGTCCTGTTATTGCTTTCGGAGCTCTGCTGGGGCGCCCTACGCCCCGCCCGGCGCCCTCCCCGCCCCCGCTACCGAGACGCCCCCGCCAACCGGCGCCCCCCCCGCCTCCGCTGCCGAGATCCCGCGATATGCGGGGGATTGCGCTGTGACGGCGTTCGAATTTTTGCTTGGCCCAGGGCCCCCCGCCCGCCGACGCAGTCCCGGCCCCCTCCGCTGCTCCTGTCCTGCGATCTGTGCGAACTTGTGTTTTGATGGTTTTCGGCGGAGCTTTGCTAAATCCCGCCACTCCCCCCGCTGGCGCATGCGCGCCGCTGCCCCGATCTCGCGGTCTGCGGCGGCCTGGTGTCGGCTTCGGATTTTGCGCGGCCCCGGCTGCCCCCCCCAGGTCGGCGTCTCGTACTGGCCCGCCCCGCTCCGATCCCGCGGTCTGCGGGGGGTTGTTTTGGCGGCGTTCGGAGGTTTGCTGGCGGGGGGCGACGGCGGCGGCGGCGACAACAGTGGCCGCGGGGGCGACGGCGGTGTGGGCGACGAATTATGGACGCGGGGATCGGCGTGGACCTAAGGGGGCTGGCCACGGGGATGACCAGGAACAATGGGACAAACGACGGGGGAGAGGGGAAAGGGTGGCCGCCAAGGCCAGCGTCGGGGAGGTGGCGGAAGGGGATGATCGGGAAGACCGAAGGACAGTGGGTAGGAAGGGGGGCAACGAAATTGTTGCTTGCGCCAACATCAGGTGCGCGTGAACGAGAGGGGGGGGCTTCGGGGCGGCGACGGTGGGCGGGGCGGAGTGGGGGGGACGACGATTTTTGGGGCGGGTGTCGGCGGTTGCGGGGTGACGACGGCGTGGGGGGGTGTCGCGGGGGTGGTGGGCGACGACGGGAGCGGCTTTGGCGTGGCATGTGGTGGAGCTCGCACGGTGAGGGGCAGAGGTAGGGGCCGCGGAAAAGGCATTGGGAAGCAGAACGTATGGGGAGCAACGACAAGGGGGGGCGAACGGCAATACGCGGCGATGGGCGGGAATGGCCGCTAATAGATGGTAGTGCGGTGCCAAGATGACGTCGTATGGCTCCATGGTTTTGACACGTCAAAACCTTGCAGCACGTGCGCTCGATTGGGCTTTCTCCGAGGGCGCGTGGTTCCAGTGGGTTGGGGGCTGAACGCGCCGATCTCGGGCGATGGGCGGCCGCCTCAAGTCGAGTTCGCGGCGGGCCCTCATGGTTGCTGTTTGCGCCGGCCCAACGTGCGCGGGTCCCGATCGGGGGGCGTTTTTTTCCTCGTCGTTTCCACGCCCCCCCCTGCAGAGTCTACGCGATTTCAGCGATTCCGACGCGGGCGTCGACGCGGGCGCCGAAGCCGGGGCATGCGCCGTTCAGCTGGGCCGAGCGCAGCGAGAGAATGCCAGCCGTGAGCCCCCCGCAGGTTCCGGCCATGCCGCTCTCCTGGGGCGGCTGATGTCCCCGCCCCCGCAGTCGACAAAAAGAGTTCGAACGCGCGCCAGCTCGCTCCGTACGCTGCTGCAGTAGTTGCAGCAGCAGCGTGGCCGGACGCGCCGGCGAGGCCCCCGCGTCAAATGAGGGAGCTTAGCCAGCGCCGGGACCTCGTTTTTTACTACCCCGACGGCCATCACATGCGAGGGTCAGGATCGGAAGCGTCGGTGCTCCTCGAGTCGAGTGTTGCTGCAACCGTCGCCGCAGCCAGGGTCGAGCCCACCGGGGAAGCAGGCCTTAGCTCATTCGGCGCCAACGCGGGCCGAGACGCTGAGCCAAGCGCGACCAGGGCGCGCGCCAAAAACGAGACGCGGCACCCCAGCGAAAGGAGGACCTGCTCGCCACAGCCTGCATTCAAGGGAGGATAAACCACCCGGACCAGACGATTTGCGTTTACTAAACGGCCCTGGTACTAAACAGCCTTGCCCTGTTCGATTCCTTTTTTTGGGCGCGTTTACTAAACGGCTTCGCTTGTCATGGTGGTTACTATCGGGGTGGATTCTCTGCCTTCCATGCATCGGCCTCGCCCCACAGGCGGGTTTTTCTTCCGACGGGCAGGGTTGATCAATCCAGAGGAGAGCACCACGGGTGTTTTTGGTGACCGCGAGGGCCCCCCCGCTTGGAGCGCTGCCCGCGCTGCTTGGCAGCTCAGCGGGCCCTTGATACTGCTTCTGCGCTCCGGATATGGAACTGCCATTTGCTGGCGTAGTCCATTAAGACCAGCCTTCGTCAGGATGCGAGCGATCACCACGAGCGCATTGCCGCTGACGTTGGTGGCGCATGGGGACAGCGGCAGTCGAGGAGGGCAACGCCTCCTCCTCGTCCCCCTTTTTCGCTCCCTCCGTTCCTCCTCCCTCCCTCCTTCTCCTCCTCCCCCTCCACCCTCTTGGTGGGGGTGGAGGGTTGCCTGATTGATCGGCTGCACGTTCAGCGGCACGGGCGAAGGACAGCTTATAGACCTCGCCAAACGGTCAACACAGGTTCTGGCTCCCCCCCCCCCGCGTTTCCCAGCCACCTCGTGCCCGGCTGGTTGCTGCGTGGCTGGGGCGCTCTCGTGGACAGGAATTGCAGTGTCACGGTTTGAACGGCGCGATGTTCAGTCTACACATGGACAGAATTGCAGTGTCACAGTTTGAACGGCGCGATGGTCAGTCTGCATAAACCAATCGTGCGTCTTGTGTTTCCATGCTTCCCGATACCATTGATAGCCGGTCTGTGGTCGCCATTCTGCGCGCTTCCGAGAGGCGGGAACGAGGAGCAGAGATGCACAAATTGTCAGTGCGAATTTCGATCCGATCGATCTGGTTTCATATCCTATTCGGCGTTTGCGATCGGGCTCGATTCCGACATTCCGACGTTTTGGTATGGCCGAGTCGATTCGTTTCGATTCCGACTCCGAGCCTACAAGGTTTGGCTCGATGATTGTGGTGGCCCGATGTGAGTGATCGATTCGTTGGTGACCGCTCCTGCATATGTACACAATCCCGAAAGAATGGGTTGAGGTTATGATGTTCTTCACCGCCTACCACGACGAGAACGGGGTGCTGATACTCAAATTGGAAAAGATCGCTCGAAGGCCGAGCAGAGGGGAAGTTGGCCTTTTGTGTGGTCTATCTGTGAAAATTCGTCCGATCTATCGTTTTGCGGTCGACCACCTTAAGTCTGGGGTCTCAGAGACCGGGCCCAAGGCATCGCAATCTGCGCACTGTGATCCCACGATATGCCCTCGTCGCATCCGTTCTTTTGGGGCGCATCCTCTCTCTCTCTCTATTGATTATTCTCTCTCTCTTTCTCTTTCTCTCTCTCTCTCTCTCTCTTTCTCTTCTTTTCTCTCTCGATCTCTCTCTCTCTCACTATATCTATCTTTTTTTCTGTTCTCTCTCTCTCTCTCTCTCTCTCCCTACCAAGCAAGAGTAGGGCAGGGATGTGAAGGGGAGGAGAGGGGGACGGAAGGGGGATGATGTTCTAGAGTGGATGTGGTGAAGACGACGATGATGTTGATGATGATGATTAGGACGAGGATGACGATGACGATGAGGATGCGGATGAGGATGATAATGATGCTGTTATGACGATGATGATGCCGATGATGTTGAGGATGACGCTGCTGACGATGCTGATGATGACAATGCTGATGGTGTTGATGATACTGATGTTGACAATTGTGATTATGATGCTGATGATGCTGATGATGATGGTGTTATTACGATGCTGATGATGATGCTGATGGTGAGGAGGATGATGAGGACGATGGTGAGGATGGTGATGATGCTAATGATGATGGCGTTATTACGATGCTGATGATGAAGATTATGATGGTGCTGATGATGACAATGCTGATGATGATGCTGATGCTGATGCTGATGCTGATGATGCTGATGATTACAATGCTGCTGCTGATGATGATGATGATGATGAGAATGATGAGAATGATGACGATGATGATGGTGTGGGGGATGATGAGGATGATGATGATGAGGGTAGCGATGATGATGCTATGACGATGCTAATGAGGATGATGATGCTGATGGTGCCGATGATAATGATATTGGTGATGGTGATGGTGATGGTGATGATGATGCTGATGGTTATGGTGCTGATGGTGCTGATGATGATGATGGTGATGATGGGGGTGCTGATGATGATGCTGATGATGATGAGGATGATGAAAGGGACGATGAGAATGATGATGAGAACGGTGATGAGGATGACGATGATGCTGACGACGATGATAATGATGATGATGCTGATGACGGTAATACTGCGGATGGAGATGATGATGGTGCGGATGTGGATGATGATGATGATGATGATGATGATGATGATGATGATGATGATGATGATGATGATGATGATCATGATGATGTTGATGATGATGCTGATACTGTTTGAGATGATGCTGTCAAGACGGATGATGAGGATGTTGAGGAGTTTGGTGATGAGGGTGATGATGACGCTGCGAACCCGATGCTGATGATGATGATACTCCTGATGAGGATGCTGCTGCTAATGATGATGCTGATGGTGATGATGTTGATGTTGCTGATGATGCGGTTGGTGATTATGATGGGGATGATGATGCTGATGATGATGAGGAGGATGATGGTGAGGAGGACGCTGAGGATGATGGTGAGGATGAGGATGAACATGATGATGATGCTATGACGAGGGAGATGATGCTGATGCTGTGAGTGATGATAATACTGATGGTGATGCTGATGATGATGATGATGATGATGCTCATGCTTATGATGCTGATAATGCTGCTGCTGATGATGATGCTAGTAATGATGATGGGGATGCTGCTGCTGATGATGATGATGGTTGTGATGATGATGATGATGGTGATGGTGATGGTGATGGTGATGATGATGATGATGATGATGCTGCTGATGATGTTGATGCCGATGCTGATGCTGGTGATGCTTATGATGACGAGGACGAAGAGGGTGACGAAGACGAAAACGGTGGTGGTGATTATGACGAGGAGAAAGAGGAGGAGCAGGAGGAGGAATAGGTGGAGGAGGAGGAGGTGGAGGACAAGCTAGGTGCGCTCGCGTCATATCTGACGTCCTACCCCTCCCTCCCATCCCTTACCATGGCGCTGATTTTCTCTATCCGCGGACGCGTGTCGTAGCGGACCTGTGGCTCCGCGCGCGCGTGCGTAGTGGGTGGTGGTGCACGTGCGTGCGTGCGTGCGTGTGTGCGTGGTTGTCGTGGTGGTGGTGGTGGTGGTGGTGGTGGTGGTGGTGGTGGTGGTGGTGGTGGTGGTGGTGGTGGTGGTGGTGCTGGTGGTGGTGGTGCTGGTGGTGGTGGTGTTGGTACTGGTGCTGGTGCTGGTGGGTGGTTGTGGTGGTGGGTGGTGGTGGTGGTGGTGGTGGTGGTGGCGGTGCGGCGCGGTGGTGGCGGGCGGATGGGCGCGCGAGAAAAAGGCCCGCGCTGGGGCGAGAACGCCATCCTGAACGATGGAGGCCAAACACCGATCCGAAAATGAGGCCCACGCTGCAGCGGGAGCACGATTCGGAACGATTCGGGAGCAGAAATGAGGCCGGCGCCTCAACGAGAGCAGCATTTTGGGAAAAAATGACGCCGGCGCCTCAGCGAGAGTCGTTTCCCGGGATTTCCCGGGAATCCTGTGTGTAAGAAAACAGTACGCAGAGGGTGCGCGGCCATCATCCGGACGCCATCAGGGGAAGAGGGAGAGTATTTTCATATTGAGTAATTGTTCAGGGGCAGGAGAAAGAGGAGGAGGGAATTTGACGGAGGAGTACGGTTTGTGCGGTTTACGGTGGTGGTGGTGCGTTGGTGTTGGCTCTGGTGCTGGTGGTGGCGATGGTGCTGTTGCTCATCGTGGTGGTGATGCTAACGATGAGGGCCCCGAGGCCAACCGACAGGACGAGCGAGGAATGGGAGCAGGCGAGAGAGCGACGGGGACAGAGGGAGCAGAGGCGCGACGACGGCCGCCGCGCGCCGGCCGCGTGGCCCGAGCGGAGGTACCGGAAGGGATGGCTCTGGTTCGACCTCGTCGCGGCCGTGCCGTGGGAGTGGCTGATGTCCACCACGTCGGGCTTCGCCACGACCACGAAGTCGGGGGGAGCGGGCGTCCCCCCCTCCCCCCTCCATCCTCCAGCCTCCCTCGTCCAAAACTCCTCCCCCCTCCATCCCCCCCCCTCCATCCCCCCTGCATCCTCCCCCCTCCATCCTCCCCCCTCCATCCTCCCCCCTCCATCCTCCCGCCCCCGTTCGACCTCGTCGCGGCCGTGCCGTGGGAGTGGCTGGATGTCCAACACGTCCGGCTTCGCCACGGCCGCCAAGTCGGGGGAGCGGGCGCCTGTTTTGGCTTGCCTCCAGGGACCCTCCTCCCTCTGCCGTCCCCCCCTCGCCCCTCTCCATGCCTCCTTCGTCCAGGAAGGCCCAGGTGCCCTCCTCCCATCCCTCCCTCCCCCTCCAGCCTCCCTCGTCTATCCTCCCCCCCTCCCCCCTCCCTCCCTCCTCCCCTCCCTCCCTCCCTCCTCCCCCCCTCCTCACCCCTCCATCCTCTCTCCCTCGCTCGTTCAGGGAGGCCCAGGTGCCTCCGCTGGGCACCGCTCGCGAGGCCCAGGGAGCCCCGCAGGCTGCAGAATGAGACGAAGCGCTGGGTTGCGTGGGGTCAGAGGCGGCGAAGGGGGGGACTGGGGGCAGGACCGCCCGCCGGTCCTTCTCTCACCGTCCCTCCGTAGAGGAAGGGGACGAACACGACTAACATAATAACAGTAGTTGTAAGGGTGTAGTCGGAATAATGATACCAGTGCTAATACTCATCGTAGTAATGCTAAGACTCATAACAATGATGATGCCAATACTAAGCGTGGTACTAGTAATACTAGTAATCACTGCATGAAGATAAACCGTCGGAGGTCCGCTCGCATTATCTTGGATCTGTGCCAGATCCCCACACCCGGGCGTTCCTCCAAAGGGTTCTGTGCATGCAGCTGTTTATTATCTTTCTCCTCCTCATGCTCTTTCCCTGGTACCTCCTTCCTTCCGCCCCGCCTTCCCCCGCGAAGAAAGTCCTATCGGCCACGCCTTTTACCCTAATCGCCTTACCGCCCCGACGTGGTTTCAATAGCTTTCGCTCTGGCGTCGTCTCGATTTTCGTGGCGTTTTCAGCGTCTCGTTGACGGCTCGATCTGGGTTCTGGATACACGAGGTTCGGGGTTCGAGGTTTCGGGATGCCTTTGAGCCTCCGGGAGCGCACTTTGGAGGCCTGTTTGGGCGTCTTGGAGGCCTCTTGGGCCGTCTGGGGTCCATCTTGAGCATCTTGGAGCGATCGTTCGGCGATTCGGGGCCTTCTTGGCCCGTCCTGGGGGCCTTTTGGGGGCCCTCTGGGCCCGTCCTGGGGCCCTCTTGCGCCCGAGACTGCCGCGCCGCGAGGCGCGACGGGCCCCAGTGGGCACGCGCCAAGCCCGGCAGGAACTGGGAATTTGGGGTCCAGGCTCGTTTACGGTAATTTGGGCTCAGGAGTGAGGATTGAGGTTTCGAGGAATGGGCCCAGGACGTGAGTGAGGGCACGCCCACGATTGGGCCCATGACCTGGGCACACGCCCACTCCGTGCCCAGCGCGGCGCGGTGCCGGAGACGGGTTGACTGTATCCCCTTGCCCTTTGCCGTCTGCCCCGAGTGGAGAGGTCCGTGCGCGTCATGCGCGTCATCCGCCTCCTGAGGCGCCGCGGCCCCCGCCGCCCGCGCGCCGCCGTGTCCTCGCCGGCGGGCCAGGGCACCAGAGCAGTCGCTCCTCCTCGTTCTCGTCCTCCTCCTCCTCCTTCTCCTCCTCCTCCTCCTACTCCTCCTTGTCCTTCTCCTGTCTCCTCCTCCCCCTCCTGCTTCTTCCTCCCCTCCTTCATCCTCCTGCACCTCTCCGCCTCCTCCCCCTCCTTTTCTTTCTTCCCTGAACCTCCTCCTCCTCCTCTTCCCTCCTGCTTCCTCCTCCTCCTCCTCCTCCTCCTCCCCTTTCCTCTCCTCCACCTCCTCCTCCTCCTCCTCCTTTCTTCCCTGGTCCTCTTCATCTTCTCTCGTGCCTCCTCCTCTTCCTCCTCCTTCTCCTCCTCCTCCTCCGTCTCCTTCACCTCTTCTTCCTCCTCCTCCTCTTCCTCCTCCTCATCCTCCACCTGCTCCTCCAAGTAGTAGCCAAGACGCCCACGGTGATTCACCGCCGGCCCCTGCCTTTCCCCATGGTAAGCCTTGTGGCAAGAGCTCTGCGATGCTATCGTACCATAGGTTCCCCCAACCGTTGTGGAGGCCCTTCGGGGAACACTTGGGGGAGGATGGCAGGGATGATGAGAAGGAGAGGAGGAGGAGGAGGAGGAGGAGGAGGAGGAGGAGGAGGAGGAGGAGGAGGAGGAGGAGGAGGAGGAGGAGGAGGAGCAGGAGGAGGAGAAGGAGGAGCAGGAGGAGGAGGATTAACAGGAGGAGGAGGAGGAGGAGGAGGAGGAGGAGGAGGAGGAGGAGGAGGAGGAGGAGGAGGAGGAGGGAGGAGGGTAGGCAGGCGGCATAGCCTCGCCCGCCAGGCCCTTTCTCCAGTGAGCTCCCGAGGGAGCACAGTTTCTTTCCCGCCCGCGAGGGCCTTCACGGACTAGTGCGGATTGGGGATGGGTGGGCGCACACTATTCATGGGGCCGAAGGCCCCCCACTGGGGCTGTGGGCAATGCGGCAGGTCGCCCAACTGGGCCTCACGGGTCCAGTTTGCGTGCGGGGCTGCTGCGCGGAGGACGATTGTGGACACGGCGAAGGCCGCAAACAAGACTGCCAACGGCGGCGGGGGAGGGCGGAACGATCCACCACCGAGGCCCTGGGCAGCGAAGTTCGAGGCTCAAACCAAGCAGATTGCAGCGGTCACTTCCAAGACCGACAAGATGGCCAAATCAGGTCCTTGGGCAGCTCCACCAGCGTGGTCGGGCGCGGGTCGGGGGCCAAAGTCTGATGCGAAGGACGAGGAGGCCGATACGTGTCGGGAGCGGATTGAGATGCTGTCGCAGACGTTTCGGAACATGGACGCGGAAAAAGGATAAAGAGGTCATTCCGGGGCTGCAGGGGAAGCTCAAAAAGTCACGGGGGCAGCTTCAGAAACCCAAGCCGCAGCTAACCCTTCACACCAACGCAGGGCATGCGCTCGCAGAGTTGGAGCGCAAACGGGCGGCGGCGGTCCAGAAGAAGACAGAGCAGGAGGAGGCGAAGGCTGCAGCCATTCTGGAGATTGGCAAGCAGGAGCAGGCAATCACCAATCTGGACGCGGAGATTGTGCAGGCCAAGCGGGCGCTGGCGATCACCATCCCAGATGGCGTGTTTTTCGATTCCGACGAGGCCGAGTTCGACGGAGACCAGGAGGTCAAGGACATGCTGGCGTCCGCAGCTTGGAAACGCGACCAGGACAAGGTCAAGGAGAAAGGAGGGCCGCTGTTTTGGGTGGTTCCTCCAGGTGCTACTGATTGCGGCGCTGCAGGAACAGCAGCTGCAGACGGTGGCGGAACAGCAAAAGAACCTGATGACAGCGACGTGGAGGCTCTCTGGCAGGCATCAAAGGGAGAACAGCGGAACCTGCTGGAGCAGCTGCGCGCCATGGGCTACATGCGGCGGAAGCGCGGGTCGCCAGCAGGACAATGATGATCAGATCAAGGATTGGACGATGACGCACGCAGGCCTCCATCAGGCAGAGACCCCTGCGCCGCAGCTGGTCGGTTTCGCGGAGCACCATTGCATGGGGCCGAAGACGCCGGAGATGCGGAAGAGCCTACGGAAACACGGATGGAGAGGCGACCCGGTCAGGGCTCAGCCGACGATCAACGGAGGCAAACAGGGACGTGGAGGGGTAGCGGTTTTCTCTGGGTCTCAGTTGCACACCGCAGTTCCCGCTGTCGAGGAGGCTACTGTTTCCAGATGGTCAGCCAGTTCTGCCGATTGAGTGGGCAGTTCAGTGGGTCATGTTCTCGTCAGTGGACATTGCCTTCGTATCGGCGTACTTCGTGGTGGGAGTTGGGTGGGCAGAACCGAATCTTTCCGTGCTATCGGAGATTGGGCAGCACTTGAGGCCCAAGGGATTACCTGTTGCGATCATGGAAGATTGGAACATGACGCTGGAGGAAGTGGGGCCATCTGGATTCGATGTCAATGTGGGTGGCGAATGGTTCACGCCTGGGCTGCGCCAGGCGGGCGAGAGGTTGATCGATTACGTGTGTATCTCGGATTCGCTACGGCATGCTGAAGACATCTCGTGGGATGATTCCCTCCGTGGGCGGCGACGCATGTTGGGGTCAGATGGGGTTCTCAAGAAATCAGCCTTTAGCTTGGAGTAGCGAGTGGCGAGGGCACCGCTGCCCATCGCGTTTGGCATGGACGGGCCAGATTTACCACGGGAACACTTCTGCGAGCGGCCAGCCGTCAGTCTGGAGGATGGCATGGCGCGAGCTGGGATGCGGGATCTCGTGGGGATCGAGAGGGAGGTCAGTGAGAACTACATGGCCTTCGCGCTCGCGGCGGGGGAGCTGTTGCTGAACAGGGAGGTAGAGACGGGCGGGCACCTGCTTGCGTCCATCAAGAGGGGCTTCAAGGTCGAGGTCCAGGAGGGAGTCCGGGTTGTGCCCCCCAAACCGAAGGGTTGGGCGGCCCGCGCCTCGGGAGTGGCCAAGTGGGGGACCCTACACCCGCACTGGGATCCGCATAGGGACTCGCAATTGTAATTTCGCGTTTCTGGTGAAAACTCTTCCTCATCCTCCTCCTCGTCCTCCTCTTCCGTTTTTTCCTCCTCCTCCTCCCCTTTTTTTCTCGTCTCCTCCTCCTTCGCATCGCCATGTTTGGATCGAACCATTTCGGCGCCAACGGGCGGCAGAAGCAGCCTGCTCGGCGGCCCGTGTGGCGGCGGACCTGCGGACCGCCCGGTAGGACCGCGGCCAGCTCGCGCACGCGCTATGGTGCACGCTACCATTGCGTGCCCTCCTCATTCCTTCCCGTCTCTTGCCATTCGTTTTCACGTGCGTTGTGGTGCTCGCAGTGGCCCTGGCGTGCACGGATGTCATGGGCTCAAAATTCAAGAGTCGACGCAGGGAGAAAATCAATAACCACAATCAGTTCACATATTGAATTTGATGGTAGTGGCCGCCCCCACGATTTTTTGGCATTTGGTCCCGTCCGGACCCCATATGCCCCAGAGGTGCACGCAGGCATTGTTTTGCTCACAGGCACTGTGGTGTACGCACCCAGGCTTGGCGGTGCGCACAGGCAGCGTGGTGTACGCAGATGGTGCTGAATTGGTCGTGGCTCATGCCCCTGGTCTTGGCTCGTGCGCGCAGGCGCTGTGGTGCACGTGGAAGCGCTACCATTTTACTTACCCCGTCGTCGTCATCGTCGTCTTCGTCGTCGTCGTGGTGCTCGTCGCTCGTCGCTCGTCGATCATCGCTCATCGTCGTGTTGCGCGCGGGCGCGGCTGTGGTTCCGGAACCGCACGGCCGGGGGGGAAGTCTCGTCCCGGCCCCCCCTTCCCCCACGATGCCCTTATCGCCGAAATTGCAATAACGCGCTTCTTGTTTGCCCCCGTGGAGGCTAGGTTAGGCCAGCTGCAACCGACCATGCCATCCATTGAGAACCCCCATATCCCCTCAGCAGCCCCCGCGCCGATCCTTCGTTGTCAGCTGGGCGAGCGGGTCAGGAACGCGGGCTCTTGCCCCAGATCTTCGAGGAGTTTCTTATCGAATCCAGGCGTGCTGTCTCGATTTCGGCATCCTTGGCCCGTTCTCGGGCCCCGCTAGCATCGAATGTGGATCTGGGGTGCAAAATTCCCCACTGGGAAGGTGCCGCGGATTGGAAACATCAGATCTTCGGATGTCAGGAGGCTCGTGGGCAAGGAGGGCGATCCTCCCCCCCGCCAAGTGACCTCCCTCACACCTCTTGGGCGGGGCCGAAGACCTTCAGCTTCCGAGTGTGGGCGCGTCCCGCAAAGAGGGCGCCAGAAGTGCACCCCACGGACACCGGAAAAGGATCCAGCCGGAAACGGGGAGGGATGATCAAGAGGAGAAGGAGGCGGTGGAGGAGGGATCTAGTATCTTTGGTGCGTTTGCCAGCCTTGCTTCAGCGCCCCTTTTTGTGGGGGAGTGCTCCCAGAGTCTCTGCGGATTCCCCCTCGTAGGCCTCCGCTGGGCTCCTCCTGGGGCCCCCAGAGAGGGCAGCTTGTGTTGTCTTAGGGGCCTCTTGGGCCGTCTTGTGGCCCTCTTGGCCCCCATGGGGGCCTCCTGGGCCAGCCTGGGGGGTCTCTCTAACATATCTTGTATTATCAGACGCCCGAAATCGCAGGAATGCGAACATCATTTCAAAAAACCGATACAACAAATCAGTGATCTTTCTTCAGGAGGCCAGGGAGTCCTTTTGGGGCCTCTTGGGGCATCTTGGGGGCGTCTTAGGCCGTCTTGAGGCCACTTTGGGTGTAATTGAGGCTTCTCGAGCGTGTTGGAGCACTTCAGGAACCATCTCGGAAGGCATCTTGGATGCGGAGGTTCCGAGGGCCCTGGAGGTGCGTCGAAGAGCTCGTGCTCCTCACCCTAGTTTAGGGATTTGGGACCCGAGGGGAGCGGAAATGGTGGATGGGGGACATCGAAAGATCTCACACGCCCTTCACCCCCGGCAAGCGAGGTTCAGCGGATTGTTTTTTGTTCTGTCCTCCGTTCATTTCTGGCCCCAGCCCGCCCACGGTTATGTTCTCTACTTATACATTGTTCCCACTCCGCGTGAGGTGTTAGACGCATTGTCAATGCAAAAACACAGCCTGTTGATGATAGACTCTATCATGGATCCAAACCCAAATTGTCAGAGGTGGCGTTCCAAACGCGGCCTGCCCTTTGCAATCGTCAGTGTTTCCCTTTCGTTTTTTGTTCAGCCTCCGCAGTAGCAGCCATTGTGGCTCGAGGATCAGACCACACAGCGGCTGCCGTGGGCCAGACGCGGACAGCGGCCACTCAGCAAGAAATGGGCAAGTTCATCAAGGCCGGCCGCGTGGTGGTTCTCCTGCAGGGCCGCTACACGGGCAAGAAGGCGATCGTGGTGAAGGCCGGGCGGCAGCGGACAGTGGTTGGCCTCAGATGTCGCGATGGAGGAAACTGGGGCCCTAGGAGAAACGGGTCTTGATTTTCTCCCTTGTTTTCGTCACCTTGACCCATGGACCATGAAAGAGCGACTCCGGATTCTGGGGGAAGGCCCCGGGTTCCAGGCCCGTCTCCCTCAGGACCTGGATCTTTCATGCCGAACAAGAGATAATCGTTGGCACGCGTTGCCAGGCGGAGCAGGGGTCCTGAGGGGACGCGTTGCCAGGCGGGGCAGGGGTCCTGAGGGGAACGGGGAACGAGGTCTCGAGAAGCCTGGACCGCTGAGAGGGGCATAGACGGAGCCTGCTAGAGCGACCATAAGCCTAGGAGACCATCGTATAGTCACCTGCAGCCCCGCCCCAGGGGCCCAGGGCAAACGACCACTCGAGGCACCCAGGGTACATTCAGGAGGAGGAGGAGAAGGAGGAGGAGGAGGAGGAGGAGGAGGAGGAGGAGGAGGGAGGAGGAGGAGGAGGATGGAAGAGGAGGAGGGAGGAGGATTTTAGGGTAGAGAGCGCGCCCGTGGTGCATTCCCAAGAGAGGTTGGGGCCCCCAGCTACAACCCCGTACACTTAGGGCCCCCGCCCCTCCTGGAGCCTCCAAGAGGCGCCCCGGAAGACGCCCGGGAGCCTTCCCGAAGCCTCGGGACCTGACGTTCCGAGAGCCCCAGATGGCTTACAGATGGTTCCAGGTTGGCCCGCAGTGGCCTTAAGGCGGCCCCAAGAGGCCCCCAGGACGCCCCAGAGCGGCTCCAAGAGAACCAGCTCGAGAGCCCCGGGCGGCAAGCACCGTCCCATTCTATCCGAGGAACGTGTGTGGTTGGCATATTCACTTCTTCGTCCCACCAGCGTCCCACGCGGCTCCGAGAGGCACCCATGAGCGCCCCAAGGCCGCCGAAGAGGCTTCCAAGAGGGCCCGAAGAAGCCCAGGATGGCCCCAGGGCGTGCCCAAGAGTCTTCAAGAGGCGCCCAAGACGACCCCGAAGCGCTTCAAGAGGGCCCCAAGAGGCCCCACAGAGACCCCCCCCTGCGCCCCCCGAGCGGCCCTCCGATCGCCCTCGGCGCCAAGGTGGCCCCCGGAGCGTCCCGGCGGTCCCCAAGAGGCCTCCAGGGTTCCCCAAGAAGCCTCCAAGAAGCCACCAAGAAGCCACCAAGAGGCCCCCACTGGACGCACACGTTGCCCTCATGAGTCCCCCGATCGGCCCTACGGCGATCCCAGGAGGCCCTCAGGCTGCCCTACGAAGTCTCCAACAGCACGATGAGGTACCAAGAGGCCGCCAGAGTATCCACACAGGACTTCCAAGAGGGCCAAATCAGTCAAAACCACAAGGAATCCAAACGTTTTTCCCTTCCTTCTCTTGGACTCCCTATGTGTTGCAACTGTGTGGCTCAAGATGGCCTCGGAGGCCCGAATGGTCCCGAAGATAGTTGAACTATTGCCCAAGGATGGCCCAGGACTGCTGCGAATGCCACGATTCAATGTGGCTTTAGACACCAACGCGTGGGCTTCCAAGCCAAGTACCCGGTTATCCAGACACGGCCCCTCAGGCGCTGTACACTTGTCCCCGTAGAAAACGGAACGTGAGCGCGCGCGATGTTCTTAGTATGGGATATAGAAGAGACTGTGAGACCACAGGAGGCAATGGCGCCTTCAATTCCAGATCACGCTCACACCGTGCTCGGTCTCTGAGATCGGGGGTGGACAGACCTCCTACCCTGACACGTCGATTAGCGAATTGGCCGTTTTCGGTTCGCGACAGGGCGTCGCGGCCGTCATTTTTGCGGGTCAAGGTCCGCCGGTTTCGGTTCCAGGCAGCTTTCATTTAAGGGTGGTTTATTGAAGGGAGGCTTGTCCACCGCCGATAAGAACAATGTATAGGACCGTTACAGACCAATTGTTTGGAGAGTTTCAGGAGGGGGAACACACAGACACAATTAATTGTCGATTCCCCAGCAAACATGAGAAAATATGGGAAGTGGGTGGGAACACACAAATCAAGAACATATGGAAACATATAGGGGAATCCTGTTATTTGTGTGTATTTATTAGTGTGTCCCTGGGCCCCTTTAGATTTACCGATGTCTTGGGTCGGCACTGCCCCCCCCCCCCTGGCGGCGCCCCTGGTTCGCTGCCCCTGATTCGCTGTTCGCGCCTGGAGGAGGGGGCTGGCGCCGACCAAACGCATCTGCGCAGGAGGAAAAAAACACACAGACACAATTTATCGTCGATTCCCTAGACAATATAGAAATTATCCCAGTGCGACCCTACCTAGGAGTTGGATCCTCTAGGGAAGCAACATGAGTAGGAGCGGTAAACGCCGGCCACCTCCTTCTCCTCATAGCAGCAGCAATAGTGGATGCTGTGCTGCGCTATGCTATGCTCTGCTCTGCTCTGCTATGCTATGCTATGCTATGATCTGCTATTATATGCTGTGCTATGCTATGCTATGCTATGCTGTGCAATGATATGCTGGGCTAGGCTAGGCTAGGCTATGCTATGCTCTGCTGCGCTATGCTATGCTGCGCTATGCTATGCTATGCTATGCTTTTGCTTTGCCTGTGTTTTTGCCTTTACTTTTGCCTTTGCTTTTGCTTTTGCTTGGCACCCAGGGAGCGCAACTGAGGGAACCGCGCGTTTGCTCTTCCCTTTGCTGTTGCTTTTGCTTGGCTCCCAGGGGACTGGGGGAACCGCCCGGGGCGGTTTACACTGCCGGGCCCCTTTAAGCCAAGAGAGTAAGAACCCTTCTAGGCAGAGCCTAGATAGGAAAATATGGGAAGTGGGGGGAAGACAAAAACCCAGAAGATATAGGGAAATAGGGGGAATCCTGTTATTTGTGTTTATTTAGTTGTGTGTCCCAGGGCCCATTCAAACACATCTGTGCAGACCTCGGAACTTTTGGTGGATGCTTGTTTTGAGTTCCTCTGCTGATGCATGCACGCGCCTCACCAGGTTTCCGTGATGCCAGGCCGTCAGGGTCGTTGTCCCTCACGGCAGCCCCGCAGTCAATTCCAAACGGAAGCAGCTCATCTTGTTCGCAAGGAGGAGAAGGGGAGGAGAAGGGCATTGAGGATAGGGGGAACGGCGGCGGGGAGTAGTGGCATTTTTGATGTGGGACCACATCTATGTCAAGGGTCAGTGAAGGTTTTGATCCGCTCAAGAGGCGTTCGACGACGGGTCCAAGGCGCGCCCTTTCGGTCACTGCCTTGTCGCCGGCGTGGACAAGGCCCCCCTGAAGGTGACGAAGACCATGGGCAAGAAGAAGATTGCCAAGCGGACTCGCGTGAAGCCCTTTGTGAAGTACGTGAACTACAACCACATGATGCCTACTCGCTACCAGGTACCCGCGGAGGTTGGTGTGCAGTCTTGGGTGACGGATCAGCAAATGGACAACAGTGACGGCCGCGTAGAGGCGAAGAAGTTGATCAAGAGTCACTTCCAGGAGAAGTTCGCGAGTCCGCCAGCGGACAAAGCGGGCAAGCCCTCTAAGGACGTCCTCTACCTCCGGAAGAAGCTACGCTTCTGAGGGCGGCGCCGCGACATGCGAACGCGATGTCTGCGCATTAGCAAATCAGAATCACTCGTTTTGTTGATTTCTCGGGTCTTCTGATTTTCCCCATGTTCACCATCTTCTCTTCCTGATCCTTCCCTCAGTCCTTCCTTTTCCCTTTCCATCGTTCCCCTTCCTCTCGCTGTCCCCACTCCCAATCATTCCATCTCCCTCCCCCCCTCCTCATCCCTCCTCCCATCCCCTCCATCCATGGCTTTTCTCGCCGTCAACCATCCATGCCTCACCCCGCCAGTCCAGCCCAGGGTCCCTGTGTCGAATCCTCCCCCGTCCAGTTCTCTGTCCCTCCCCTTCTGCTCCCGTCCCCGGGTCGTTGTTGCCACCCTCCTCTGTCTTGCTCTTTCTGGCGACTGCGGCCCCCAGCACGCAGCCAACCCCTGAACCTTGAGCCCCATTCCTCGAAGGAGCACATCCAATGGAGACACATGCCAAGAAACACCCTGGTTGCCTCCAGGGTTTCTTGGGTTTCGATGGTTTTGCGATGGAAGGCGTTGCGCTCCCACACCAAAAACCAATGGACGTCCTGGGGTCTCAGGGTTGGGTTGGGTTTCTTGTGGAAGGTTTCTTGTGGACTTGCCTCCAGTGTACACGTAAGAAGGATTTTCGCAGATCCAGCAGCGCCGCTCGGAGTTCCAAACGCTTCTGCTCATAACGATATTTGCTCCTCCACGCCCGCTCCTCTCGGCCGCGCGCAGAGGAGGGCAGGGGGAGGGGGATGGCTTCTTAGAAGCACCCCTGCTTCTTGAACGGCGCGGTCTCTCTCTCTCTCTCTCTCTCTCTATATATATATACATGTAAGGCCAGCGCCTTCTAAGAAGCAGCCCCTTTCCAAGAAGCCTTCCCCCCTCTCCCCCTGCGCCTTTCTAAGAAGCCTTCCCCCCTCCCTAAGAGGCCTCCCCCCCTGCGCTGTTCTGAGAAGCCCTCTAAGAAGCAGCCCCTTTCTAAGAAGCCTTCCCCCCTCCCCCTGCCCCCCTCTGCGCGCCGCCAATTATCCTTCCCGTCTGCTTCTTGGCCTCCAGGGCTCGAGCTGAACGGTGTTTTGGCAATTTCGTGGACCGTTTTCGTTTTGACGGCGTTTCGCAGCACATGTGGCACGAGGACAGAACTGGGGATGACGAACACGAAACGAGAACGGAAAAAACACTGCTTCACTCGAGCCCTGCTGGCCTCACCTCCTCCCGTCGTCCCCCTCAGTCCGCTTGCGGCCCTCGGAGGCCTCCCTCCGCCTCGGGGGCCGGGGTGTGTGTGGGCGGGAGAGGCCGCGCACCTCGCCTTCTGCCGCGGCCCTGGGGCACGGGCTCGGCACGCAGACGACCCGCTGGTCGTTGAAAGTAGGTGCTCTTGGAGCCCCGGATCCCAACCTATTTTTGCCGAAGCGACGGAACAAAACATAAACATACAACTTTGGACGGTCCGCGCGGATTTCTTGGATCCGCGCTGGGCCCCCCCCCTGGCGGCGCCTCCGGCGCCGCCCCTGGCGCGCTCCCCGCGCCAGGGAGGGGGGCCCAGCGCAAGTCCAAGAAATCCTCGCGGACCGTCTGTGTACGGGTTGTTCTCTTCCTCTATTTTAGCGCCCTCTTACTTCAATGATCGAGTGGCTTCCCCTTTTCCGTCCCCCATAGGGGGCGAGCGGACACCCACCGCCTTCCTGCTTCATGTTTCTACCTACGTCTTCCGACCGATGGGTTCGGAGGTGGGCAGACCTCCTGCCCTGACACGTCGATCAAGGAATTGGCCGTTTTCTTGCGGGGGGCGTCGCGGCCGTCATTTCTTGCGGGTCCAGAACCCCCAGCCCGTTCGCTTTTTAAGGGGAGGTTTACTAGAGGGAGGTTTGTCCACCGCCGATGGATACAGTCGGGGCCCTGAAGAAGGAACCCTTTTGGTTGGGGAGGGGCTCCGCGTTCCTTAAGTGTTTCACAGCTTGCCTCAGGTTTTCCTTGTGTTTCCGATAGGACATCGAATACCTTATGGAAAAAAGGGGCCTCGTTCCTTATTTAGGGTTCCTTAGGTCAACGCCCCGACTGTACTGTAGTGGAGGGGGGAGGTACGAGAACGAGTGCGTGCAGCCCGGTTCGGCCCCGCCGCTGGGCGTTCCCCGAGAGGCACAAGACAAACACATAGAAAATATGAGAAACATATGGGGGATCTGGTTATTTGTATCTATTTAGTTGTGTGTCCCAGTTCCCCTTCATAATCCAAAATAGTCTAGAATAGTCTTGGGACGATAGTCGAAGGGGAGGGGATGTTTGACGATTTGTTGGGGCATCTGTTTGGTATTTCTCATTGGTCGTCCCAAATCCGCCTGTAGGGGGACATGCCCGACCTAAAGCTACGTGAGCAAATTCACTCGGCCCCCATGTAATGCTTCTATCCCCTTTCGTCCGACACTATCCTCCCCAGGGGCTTGAGACCCTGAGTCTCCCTGGGCGGGCCCGTCCACAAGTCTTCGGCTACAGGGGCCGCTCCTAGTTCGCTGCAAGCGTAGCTAACAGCTCAGACTAGCACCTGTGGGATTCGTTCACTTTCACTCCTCCTCCCTCATCGTCTTCAATCCCTCCCTCCCCCCCCGGCCTCGAGGTGCGTCCGCGCCATACGGGTAACGAAGCTGTCTAGCTTCGCCAGCAGGCCGCCTCGCTGCCCCGCCCGCCGGAGGAGGAGGAGGAGGAGGAGCAGCAAGAGGAGGTGCGTCTGTACCCTGACGGGCCAATCGTCGTTCGCATCTTCGCACTGTCTCTCTTTGATCCCTACTGCAGTGCGCGCAGCTGCAGGACAGCCTGTTTGTGTGGTACCTGGCTGCTCCGCTTGGGCATGCTTTTTCCACATCGGCGCAGCGGTCGTCAGATCCTGGTCTGGGCAACGGGCGGTTGGATGGGGTTACAGCCAGCATAACGAGAAGGAGGAGGAGGAGGACAAGAAGGCAATATGAGGATGAGTGTCAGATGTCAGCGAGGGGGGAGGGACGGCGTGATGCGGCGGAGGAAGGGGGGGAGGAGAAAGAGAAAAGGTGGAATGGAAGGAGGGGGTGGGAGGACGAGCTGAAGCTAGAGAGGAAGGGAGGAGAAGAGGAGGAGGGGGAGGCCGACATTCCGAACGAGGGGAATGCCGAAGAGGAGGCACGGCAGGATCTGCACTAGGGCGCTTGGGTGACGCTCGATCTCGAGCTGTCTGCGTCAGCCGCAGCGAGGGCGGTTTCACCCTTCCATCGCGCGCCAGACTCATCACAGCAATGAGCGGTTTCCGAAAGTGCAGGGTCGCTCAGTGGCAATCGTGGCTGTGTGGGCGGCGCACCAATGATCGGACAGGCGGGCGGTGGTGGGATCGTGTCGGGCGTGCGCGGCTATGACGAAGGAGTTTCTATCTTTGTAGACACTAGGGATAGTTCACCGTCTGAATCGCTCCGTAAATGAGGGCAATGCCGGAGTCAGTCAAGCAGTTGTCTGCGAAGGGCCCCGGGATTACCATATCAAGGAGGCTCTGGCAAGGAAGGGGGCGAGCAGCCATATGGAGGCCGATGCTGGCGACGCGCCGTATGAAGACCAGAAGGCAGCACTGGATAGATCCACCGCGTGTATCAAGGCGATGGGCGACCTGACAGAACCGATGGATCAAACTTACGATGGCGGTGGTAGAGGAGCTGGATCGGATTCGGGCGAACATATCATCAGACAAGCCAGCTTGTGCTCAATCTTCACCAGCTTACGAATCGCTGCCCGGCACCGGGCAAGACAGCGAACAAGACAGCAGGTGTCGTTCCAGATGTCTCTAGATCAGGCTGCCAATTCCCGCAGAGTATCGCAGATCTTCAAGACTCGATTAGCTAGAGGTCGAGTTTTTCGAAGCGTGGGAGGCCCGTGGGACGGCAACGGCAGCGGTGCCTGCTCCAGGGGCGGGCTCCTCTCCTCTCCACGCGAAGTTTCCAGCGATCTCTTTGTCGGTTGAAGCTTTGCGTAGGGTGTTGTCAGGAGTTGGCGCAGACGCAAGGTTGGCACAGGGGGTCCAGGATTTGTCTCGGCCGTTGAGAAGTTTGAGTTTGAAACAGCATCCAAGAGTCGTGCCCTGCCGCGAAGCAGGCCAGTTCCCGCGCCAGGAGAAACCTCAGGTAATGCAATAGCAAGCGGTGAACCCAAGCCGGCTGTTTCGATTGAAGTGCCAGGAGACGCTGAAGATACCCCCGAGCTGCAATAATCACGCCGCGAAGCGTTTGGCAAGGGGCCGCCAGCTGCTTGGGAGTAACCAAGGCCGGCGACCCTCAGGTTCGAAGACGCCACCAGGAACTACGCCAATACAGCAGAGGTCGGGCCCTAAGTTCGTGTTGCTCGTCCTCTCGTGGCGCGTCGATGCAGTCTGTGCGATGCCAGGGCGTCATGCTGACTGCCTGCTGCAGCAGGCGTCGTCGAGTATTTTCAGCCAAGTTGGCGGGCGGGCTACGACGCTGCCCTCGATGGCGATGGCGAGTCTGCGGCCCGACGCTGAGCCCCGACAGGCCGTCGCCCATGGCGGCCAATCCCGCGCGAGGCGCGGCCCTGCCAAGTCGCGGGCGAATGCTGCCAAGGGTTCGGCGAGAGGCGAAGGCGCGACTTCCGCGTCCCGTTCAGTGAGCAAGTCCAGCGACGTGCCACGCCCTCGCGACGCAGGCGGCCGCGGCAGCGCGTGCTCTCGCGCGTCTGGTGGCGGGGCGGCGAGTCGGGCGGCGCAGTCGCGACGGGCGCTTCGTCTGACGGCCCGCTTGTTGATCTTGTGGCTCCGCCAGGTCACCCCGTGGGCTTGTCGCTGCCGCAGGGGCGCCGTGCCGCGCGCCCGACGCTGGCAGATGCGCGGCCCAAGTTGGGGTTTATAGACGACGCGCGCGGCTTGGGGCTGGCCCAACTGGGCGGGGGGCGTCCGCGTGGAGGCGCCGCCCGTCTCGCGCCATCCAATGGCATTGTCTCTGCCCCCTTATTGTCGCGATGGCCGCGCAGGTGCCCCTGCCCGCGCGCGCAGCCTGGGCGTGCTGGGGCATGCCTGGAAGGATCTCAACGATTAGCGCGTCCAGCGCTGCGATCGTCAACGCAGTTGTTGGCTTTGCCAGGGCGCCGAGCGAACGCTACGCCCCGTGGATTGTAGGAGACGACTGGGGCGTGGGCGGATTTAGTTTGGATGCGTTGGCCCATGCTTCTGCGGGAATGGGGTTTCCACGGAGACCTCCGCGCGCGCGGCGCCGCCCGTGGGTTGTCCGCGATGTCTGCCATGGCGCGAGCGCATTTACCCAGTTGGTTGGGCGTTGGCGTCGATTCTTGGATCGCGTTTTTCCGCGCGCGCCTGCGCGCGCAGAGTTCTGCGCCGGGCCCCGGCCGAGTCGCGGGCGCGCGCTCGACGAGCCCAGGCAGTTCCGGGCCCCCCCGGGCGTGGGTCGCACGCGATGCCTTTCCGGAGGAGGTGGGGGTGGCCCGTTCAGCGCCAAGTGCGAGAATGATTTCGGCAGCTGTTGGGGGGCTACTCGTTCTCGCAGGCATAGGGGTCTGAGCTCTGCAGCCGCCGTGGCGTCTTGACTCCAGGGAAACGGCGAAGACTCTGCAGCTCCACGCAGATTTGGAGGCCGCCCAGCCAGGCCCCCGCGGTGCAGCGGAAGCGTCAAGTAGCGCGACGTATCGCGGGGAGGTGGGTCAGGGACATCAGGTCAGAGCGCGCCGAGTCGGCGCTGGTCGGCTTCGGGTGAGCGATCGAGCGGAGCGAGCCGAGACTGAGTGCTTTGCGCAAGCAGAGGCCGTGTATTTCCAAGGGTTCGCTGGCAAAATTTAACGGGCCAGTTGGGCATTGAACAGATGGGATTTCGTAGTTCATGTCCCCGTGAGTTTCAGTGACATTCGTTTCGACGTGAGACATTCGCCCCGCCGCGTGGGCGCGCGTTGCCGGGCCTGGCGCAGGCCCGTCTCAAGGCGGCCCGCGAGGCTGCGAGGAGTGACCGGGGAGCTTGGGTTAAGCAGGAGTTTGCGCATGTTTCTGGTGGAGCTCATTGGTTCACTTACGCTCAGGAGAGCTGGGAGTTGCTTGCCTGCGCGAGTAGACGTCGACTCTTCCGATGGTCGCGTGTCAGAGTGGTGAGCAGATGGAAGATGAGCGAACGCGAATGATTCGGTTCCATGCGGCGGCCCACGAGTGGGGCCAATTGCCCGCCCTAGCCCCGGACGACGTCAAACGTGCCATCGCGTCATTTCCATCGAAAACAGCCTTGGAGCAGCCCGGCGTCAATTCCCCCGCGTTGTCTGCGTTGTCCGACCTTGGTTTGGGCGCAATTTGCCCCGTCATTGCCGTTTGCGCGCGCCTCCTTGAGCGGCGCTCTGGCCGCTATGTGGCCCGTCTCGCGAGGCTGCCGAAGCCCCTGGAGATCGCCGCACGTTTGCCCCCGCGAACTCTCTAGTCCGTCTCTGGGCCCGAGCTCGCAGGCAGGTTTTACAGGACTGGGAGAGGACCAGTCTGGGCCTGTCTTCCTGGGGCAATGGTCCTGGTGCCAGCTTTTCGGCTGCCGCCGTCGATCATGACTCATGACTTGATGGTTGAGGCTGCGACTGCAGGGGGTGAGTATTCGATTAGCGTGCTCTTCGACATGTACAAGTGCCACGATCCCATCGTAGTTGCCATGCTGTTGCCTGGAGCGAAGTAGATTCGATGACCGCTTCGAATGTTATAGATGGACCGCGCGTTCTACCTGTGCCCGCGGGTGGTCCAGACCCATGGGTCGGTGTCGCGTCAGGTTGCCTCGCGCCGAGGCATCCCTGCCGGCTGCATCCGCGCGCGCGCGCGATGACGCGCGTCCGTCCTGCATAGGGCGGGCGCCCAGATGCAACCTCTACGCCCGTCGGGAACGCCCCGCGTTCCCCAGGGCGACCCGCGCTTCCAGTGACTGGGGGCGTGTCCCAGGCTTGGCCACAATCTCCTCGCGGCTGTCAGATGGCGCTGCGCGCAGACTTGTAACTTCGGAGTGCTCCGTCAAGCTGTCATGGGTGGGTGTGTGGCTGCCGCTTTGAAAGCGTCGTCCCAGGGTCCGCTGCGCGCTCGCATGGAGATCTGCGGCGGCGAGCGCGCGTGGCGTCAAGGCCGCGAAGGTTTTCAGGGAGACAGGAGGGGCTGGCCGGGATCGTTCGCAGGGGGGGCAGGCTGGCTGTCCCGCGAAAGCGCCGCCCTTGGCACAGTTTGCACGTTGCGGCGCGCAGCGTCGGCGCCCGCTGGCGGGCGCCGCGGGGGTCAGTGGCTTGACTGACCTGGCCCTGGGGGCCCATTGCAGCGCCGCGAGAACCCGCGCGGGCGCGAGGAGGCCGCGCGCTGCCACAGCGTGGCTGGCGACACAAGCCAGCCCCTTCTACTGCCCCATGTGTTCGGGGGCTTTGAGGCGGGGGGTAGCGCGTGCGGGGGTCAGCCGCAGCGCCCGATCTTGCGGGCCCCCCCTGGACCAGGGTCGCACCGGGCGGGGCCTGGGCGCAAGGCCCTGCAGGATCTTGCAGGATCTCTCGTGTTGACCCGGGCTTGGGCGCAGGACCTTGCGGGGTCTTGCAGGATTCTGCGAGGCTTGACTGACCTGGGCCTGGACAAACCGGGGCGCGGGGATCTTCGATGTGACGCCGCGATTTCGCCGCGGTATCGCTACTATCCTTGCGTCGTCTAGGGTTCTCCAGCGTCTCCAAGAATCGCCTGCAGCGCGCAGGGGTGGCAGCGGGGCTGGGCCCCAGAGCTCCCGGCGCAGAAGTCACGGTGGGGCCCGATCAGCGTTGTTTCTCTGCGTTCTATTTTGTTTTGCTGCGTCTGCATGAGATCGGGCCGCTGGCGGCGGCTCATCGCGTCATGGTCGATGATCGAGGCCGCGTTTCTGATTGCGGCGCGTCTTTCCGCTCGATCTTCAAGCACAGTTGCGCGATGGGGGCTCCGGGGTGGCGGGCGATGGGGGGCTCTCTGCTATTTCCCCGAGCGACAGGTGGTAGGCGCATGCGGCTGAACGGGCCGCGCCTCGCGACCCCCGAGATTGGCGCCGCGCGGCGTGGCCGCGAGGCGTCTGGGAGTAAGCGACGCGCGCGCCCAGGAGAGAAGCCCCCAGGCGGGGGCGAGCGCGTCGCCCATTTTCGCATGCTGCAATGGCGAGTGCGAGCCTGTCCAGGACCACCCCAGTCCCCAAGATGAGCTCGTGCCCGGTGGTTGAACGGCGCGCAGGTCTGAGCTCCGAGACAGGGGTGGCTTCGTTGATGGCGCCCAGGTGTGGGGCTCGCTTGATGTTCTGCGCGGGCCACCGCGTGATGAAATTGAGTTCCCCCCTGCGTCCGCGATGCCCGCGTTTTCATTTTCGAGATCGAACCTGCGCGCCGCGGGGTGCGGGGCGGTCTACGCTTGCGGGCCAGGGCCATGCAGCGGCAGCCCTGAACTCGCGAGGCGTGGGTGGTCGGTGGTTTCAATGCTTGCAATGGTCGATATGACCGCTGTTCGACTCGGATTTCTCAGGCCAATGAAATTGAATGCGCTGCGAGAAGGCTCCGCCCGAGGTTTGTTTAAAACATGACCCAACGCCGTTTATCCTGTGAAAAGGGGGTAAAATGCGCTGCGACATTTTTTCCTGAATGCATGTCCCCATTCCCTGTCACCAACAGACGTGTGCTTTAGGGCCAGGATGCCTGGCTGTCCTGCCTTTGCAGCTTGGTGGAATATCTTGATCAGCCCGCGTTTCAGGCTCCTGTTGCGCCAGGCTGTCCGCTTTCGCTTCCTAGCGCCAGCCGTCTGATAGCAACGTGGTTGTGCTCGTTCCCCCCCTACGCTTCGGCCCCCGGAGACCCAGGCGAGCACCGCGACAAAAATCGGTGGCATCGTTAGGGGGAATACGTCTAGGGGGAAATAAGCCCAGGGGCTCGAACTTCGAAAACCGAGGTTCGGTTTCTAGAGGTTTCTGATCGTCCTACAGTGCCCCCTTGGCCGCGGCTGGATGCGTGTCGAAATTCTGGTCAGAACGCGCCCTAGGAGAGGTCCAGGGGTTCATGTTTGAGGTTGTGCGGTGAGGCTGGGATGGCACTCGAATCGTCTTCGTGGGCGTTTTTTTTTTTTTTTTTTTTTTTTTTTTTTTTTTTTTTTTTTTTTTTTTTTTTTTTTTTTTTTTTTTTTTTTTTTTTTTTTTTTTATCATGGTGGTGGCGGTTCTGACCGTCCAGGGCTTGCGGCTCCTGCCCCGGCAAGCGCAGAAGGGCGGCATCCGTGTGTTCGTTGCTGGGAGTGGTGGATGTTTTTTGGTGTATAAAAAAGGTCCAGTGATTCATCTTTGATCGCGAAGTTCGAGGCTGGATGTTTTCTGGAGTGGTGGATGTTTTTTGTGGTGTGTAAAAAAGGTCCAGTGCTTCATCTTCGATCCCGAAGTTCGAGGCTGGATGTTTTCTGGTTGCTTCGTCCGTTCCCGGCTGCCCTCCCGCCTCGGGACCGCCTGCGGCGGCCGCGCGTCGCCCGGGGCGCTCGGGGGTGCCCAGATCGCAGGAGGAAGCAACAAACACAGACACAAGTCATCGTCGATTCCCGAGAACACGCGGGAAAAGATGGGAAGCGGGGAAGTGGAGTGGGAAGTGGGCGATCCTGTGACTTGTGTTTGTCTATTTGTGTGTCCCAGAGCCCCTTCCCTTCAGAGCTTCCTTGCCGCCTTGGCTCTACACGACCTCTGGCGACGGACCTGCGCTGACAACTTCGACCGGGCCCGAGAACTTCATCGCTCGGGCCTTGCACGGCGTCTCCTCCGCCGAATATGGGGAATCCTGGGATTTGTGTGTGCTTCTTTGTGTGTCCCAGGGCCCCTTCAGTTCTGATGCTCCTACTTATTCTAGCCTGAACCACCAGAAAGAATTTCGAGCCCCCCCCCAAAAAAAAAAACTAAGCTTGAGGATTTCGACGTGTCGCGCCCTGGGAGGTTCGTCCGACACTGTTTCGGCACTGCTTCGAGATTTTTTCGACACCTTTCAGGGTGCTCGAGATTCGTTCTGGGATGTGGTCGTTAAGTACCATGGGAGCAACATGACATTGGGGACAGGGATAGGCCCAGGGTTGGGAAGCATCGATCCCCAGTCGCCCAACCATCGCCGATAGGGACGCGAAAGCCCCTCCCTTCCGCCCAGGGCCGTACGGATTCGCTATCGGGTGCCTGTCGCCGATCTATCGGTGCTGTATCCCCGATTCAAGGTCGAAGTTGCCCCCGCTGAATTGGCGGCCCCTAGCCCTTGCCCCTCAAAGGGGCATGTGGTGCTGTCTCCTGCCTGGGCTGGGCTCATGTTTTTTTGTCAGGCGACGCACTGCCCCGATTCTGCGTCTGATGCTGAACATGATGCTGCCTCTGATGCTGCCTGACTGCCTTTTCCAGGCTTTTTTGACTGGTATCCCACAGTCGGCGGCGCGCCCAGGGGGGGGGAGGCAGAGGGGGCGGGACATCTCAGACGACTCAGAAGGCCTCCGGCCTTGAGAGAAAGAGAGAGAGAGAGAATGTTGAGACCCGTCACGAAGCCACAGAGGGCTTATCATAAGGCCAGAGGGCTTCTGAGAATCCCCGCCGCCTCTGAGAAGGACTGCCCTTGTTTCGCGTCGCGAAAACAAAAGCACGACTGACGTTTTCCTTGTTTGTCGTTGCCAATTTTCGGCCTCTGGGGGTCCTCACCAAGCGCCGGGGTCTTCAAGACACGGCTCGGAATGAGAAGCTGGTCCGGGGGAAGTGGTATAGACTGCTTGGGTCTACGTAGTGACACTACGTCGGAGGTTTCTGATGGTGCGTCCGGCGTTTGTCTGGACGACATGGGTACCCTAGCACAGGCCATGTGCTGTGTACGATGCACATCATCGTTTCTGCCTGCAAGGGTATCAGTGCCCTTGCGGTCCTGCCACTCCCCGTTCTGGCGCTCCCTTCTGTCAGCTCATGCGAGTCCCTCACTCTCGTCGATTCCCCTACCCTGCCGCCACATCTTTCCTAATCCGCTGTCTCCTACCTTCTCCTCGCTTTCGCGCCTCTCTCTCTCTTGCAATGTAACCCTTCCGCCACATATCATCCGCCTCCCACTCGTCGTGTCCTGGCTCTCCTGTATCCCCTCCCCGCTGTTTTGCGATAGTATTCCCGATCTCTTCTAGGAAACTTAGATGTGGTCCGAGTAGATGGGGTTTGGAGAGCGCGCTGCATCGACGATGCACTGCGGATGCATCGGCGACTTTTGCGATGCATCGGCGAAGTCGGCGTGGAGAAAGCCCGGCTCCACATCGAGCCGCATCGCCGATGCATCGGCGATGCTACGCGATCCTCTGACCCCATCTTCTCGCACTCCGTCCGGGAGGCCCCTTCTCTCTCTGCGCGCTGCTCCCGGCTCTCTCTCTCATCACCCTCCGGGGCCCCCGCGAGGATGGAGACGTATGCGCAGGCGCGCTCCCACGATGGCTTCATGAGGCGCCGCCGGGGGCAGAGGGCGGGGGACCCGGGCAGAGATGCTTCCGTGCAGCGGCAGGAGGGACAGGCCTCGGGGGGAACGCATTGGCCCCCGATCGCCCAGTCCTCGCCGACAGGGGCCCGATCGCCCGCGCCGCCAAGGAACCTGCAGATTCGCCGTGTCGGGCCCATCGCCGGTCTCTCAGTAACGTATCGCCGATGCAGGCCCGATGTTTCCTCTCTGAGCTGGTTCCCGTGACGTCGTTCCCCTCGAGTCTACACGCGGGCTCCCAAGGTTGCTCCAGTCGGCGTGCGGGGAGAAGGTCGGCGGGCGACCCCTCGCCCCGCGCCGCCAACCCGCAGGGCAAGGGCCTCCCCCCCCCCCCGAAAGCTGCGGGCCGTTCGGCAAAGAGGGGGAAATTTGGTAATACATGCTCAGCAGGGGCGCCCTCGAGGGCTCGAAGTTAGTCGCCTCTCGCCCATCGCGCTTCGGCTCCGGTCCTCGTCCTCCTCTTCTCCCCTGGGGGGCGGCGCGAGAGCGCGAGGTAATTCGCGAGTCGCGCAGCGCTAAGTGAGGCGCCCATGGAAAGCGTCAGGCCTTCGGCAAAGAGGGGGAAACTCGGGAATGCACCCCAAGGGTGCTATGCGGACGCATTCGCAGCGATGATTGGACGCCCTCCTCATCGTATATCTCCGAAATGTGCCGCAAATTCCTGGTCCAATCGAAGACCCAACTGAGTCGGGGATTAGGGTCGCCACGACCCCCGTCATCTCCACCGTCGGCTTTCGGCTGGTCGGTGTAAGCGCAGACGTGGTGCGATCTTTCATGAAGAGTTTGGATTTTAGGCTTCAGGCTGTTCTTTCTATCCCCCCCCTCCAGCAACCTGGGTGAGCATTCCTCTTGAAGATGAAGCTGAGTAGTGCCCCCCCTGTTCCCCCGTAGGATCCTTCGGCGGATTTTTGGTTTCTCATTCCCGCTCCTCGCGAGACGGACCAGCAGCTGGAGGCTTGATATCCCCAGGCAGGCCCCCAGGTCGGACGCTCGTCGAGACAGTCTTGCACGACGCGCTTATCCAACAGTCTCGATTCGGCAGGCCGCATGCCAAATCGTGCGCCAGACCGTAGGCCAGGGCCCAGGGTGGTCCTCGCCAAGCTCAGCGTGGGTATGGAATCCGTTATTGCCCTCATATCAGCCATCAGGCAGGCCAAGGAAGAGGATGAAGGACTCCAGTGCGCTCGGGAACGCCCTCGGAGCGTTCTGGGCCGCTCTGGGCCAGCTGCGGCGCCCGACACGTTTCGGAGGCTGCCAGTTGCCCCCACTTTCTCGTTCCATGTGCAAAGTCATGCTGCCCTCTGGGTCTTGTAAGGGGTACCCTGGAGGTCAGGATTGATGGGCCTGTTTTCCACCACCGCCACCATAAGTTGGAGGGAGAAGGAGGTGGAGGAGGAGGAGGAGGATGACGAAGAGGAGGAGGAGGAGGAGGAGGAGGAGGAGAAGGAGGAGAGGAGGAGGAGGAGGAGGAGGAGGAGGAGGAGGAGGAGGAGGGCCCCCCCCCAACACATGGTGGTGGTGGTGATTGTGGAAAGCAGGCCCATCAAGGACCACCTCTGGCAACACTCGATCATTCTCGGGACCCGCCGTCTCCCAGAGCTGAAAGGGCAGCAGTTTTCAGCGTCTCGCGCGTGTGCGGCATTGGTCAGGAGGGGAAAACACAGACAAAATTAATCGTCGATTCCCCGGAAAATATAGGAAACTATGGGAAGTGAGGTAGACGAAAACCCAGAGAATAGCGGAAAATGCAGGGGATCCTGGGATTTGCGTGTATGTATGTTTGTGTGTGTGTGTGTGTGTGTGTGTGTGTGTGTGTGTGTGTGTGTGTGTGTGTGTGTGTGTGTGTGTGTGTCAGGGCCCCTTTCGGGTGGCATTGGGCCCCAAGTCCCAGGTGCGGCGAAGCTCTCGCCGCGGATCCCCCCGACAAGCGATATCCAGTGCGAGCGCTCGATGTCCTGGGGGACGGCCACAAGCGTGTCGACCCTGGAGACTGGGGCATTCGATCGGGTATAGCCCGGACCCCAGGCAGGGAGACCCGGTAGTGGCAGGGCCCAAGAGCCCCTGAATCGGCCAGAGTCGTTAAATTAGGTCTGCCGCAGCTGAGGTTTTTTCGGGTGACGGCAGTTCCTGTTAGTGGAACGGGGCGGTTGGGGCGTCCCCCAGTACACATCTCAAACCAGGTCCAACTAAACCCAGTTCTACCAACGCCCGACTGGAGACGGGGGCACTCGGCAGATTTCACCGAGGGCGCGTTTTTCTAGTATGGAGGGGGGATGGTTGTCAGTCCTCCATGCTGAAGTCGTCGAGTGCTCTGCGCTGCAGCTTGTATACCAAGGCCGGGTCGAGATCGTCAAGCGAAGGAGGTTAAGGACGGGGTCGAACAAGAGGAGGGGGAGGAGGAGGAGGAGGAGGAGGAGGAGGAGGAGGAGGAGGAGGAGGAGGAGGAGGAGGAGTGAGGAGGAGGAGGAGGAGGAGGAGCAGGAGTAGGAGCAGGAGTAGGAGCAGGAGGAGGAGGAGGAGGAGAAGGAGCACGGGCAGCGTCGGATGCGATCCTCATGTCCTTAGCGACCAGCGACCATGACGAGCAGAAGAAAAAGGAGGAGGAGGAGGAGGAGGAGGAGGAGGAGGAGGAGGAGGAGGAGGAGGGGGGGACTACGTAATAGGCGGGGGCACGCTTTGTTGCTTGCAAGATGTGTTCAGTCGATCGTGAACTCAGAAACTCGAGAGGACGTACGAGGAGGAGGATCGAGCACCCGTGGGACCGCCTGCAACCGTTCGCATTCGGCCCGGGCATCGGATGAGCATACCACTCCGTGTTGCAAGGAGTCCTGAACCACGGCGCGCTCGGCCCCTGGGATAGATCCCGTGCAGGGCTCTGGCCATGCTCGCCTGCGCCGCCGCTTCTTTATCGTGACTTCCGTGCAGGGGCCTTACCACGCGATCGTCGGGGGCGGCAAGGAGGGGGGTGATGACTGGGGGGGGTGGATCTCATGGCGTTGGCCATGACATTTCCCAAGATGTCACGGCGCCTCTTCTCATTTCATTGCATCCATGGCCCCCCCCGTGGGCCGCGCACATGCCGCCAGCCATGATTTGCACCCCCCCGCTTGGACGCCCCCCTCTTGGCCGCCCCCTATATCGGATCCCATCGCGCACTTTGCTGCACTTGCGGCAAGTTGCAGTCGCCCCCCCTCTTCCCTGCAACATGGCATGGCCGAGCGTGCGGGAGTGGTCGAAGGCACCAGGATGAGGAGGAGGAAGAGGAGGAGGAGGAGGAGAAGAGGAGGAGGAGGAGGAGGAGGATGAGGCGGAGGAGGCGGAGGAGGAGGAGGAGTGAGTAGCGAAGTGAATGAATGAGTGAATGAGTGAAGCACCCCAGAAGCGACCGAGTTTCCTCGAACCCCAGGCCGCCCTGTCGGCAGCGGGTGGGCGCCAACAGACAGGGACGGATTCGGCGCGGGCTCCCCTGCGGAGTCTCACCGCGGCGATGAAAAAGGCGAGAGACATACCCGACACGCGCGCCAGGGGAGCAGGCAACGACGGACAACCGCTCTGCAAGCCCGTAGGCGAGAGACGGGCCGCGCGCGCCACGTGCGCCAGGAGGCAGCAGCTAAGCCGGTAAACCGCTCTACAGGCCCGTTCTGACATTCCGAGGCCTCAGAGAACGACACGCCGCGCGTGCCGCCCCGATCAGCCACCAGAGGGGCACCACTCCCTCGGTGACAGCCCGTCCCCACCCACGCCACGGCGGGGGACCGTGACTGTGGGAAGAATGGACGGGGATCCTCCCATGAGCTCCCCCGCATAGGGGACCCGCGACACCACCCATGCCCCAGCGTAGTACTGGGAGGGCCAAGCAAGGGTGTCGCAGCAAAACGTGGCAGACCCACAACCCAGGCACGGAACACATAAGGAAAAGCCGCGCACTGAAGCACTGGGCTGCCCCCGCCCGCCACAGCGAGACAGGCACAGCCCCGAGACCCCAGGCGCGACCCTTCCCCCGCGGCGCAGGCTGGGACGGCCTACGACTACCTTTTTTCTCTCCCCCAGGGTCCCGAAGGAGCACCTGGGGTGACGAGCGGGAGGCTACCCGCCTGTCTTCCTGGGAAGGGATCCAAGTGGCACAGGTGCCAGGAGAAGGCTCAAGAGGAGAGGGAGGAGGAGGAGGAGGAGGAGGCCCACGAGGAGGACGCCCGCGACGATGAGAAGGAGGAGGAGGAGGAGGAGGAGGAGGAGGAGGAGGAGGAGGAGGGCTTTCGGGGGGTGGGAGACTTGCAGCAAGAGCAGGAGCAGCGGGAGGGAGCAGCCAGGAAGAGAGGAGAGAGCCTGGAGGAGAATGGCGAGAGCCGTGAGGAGGTGAACCAGGAGAACGAGGCAGACTGCAGTGGTGAGGTGAGACGGGCCGGCACGGGAACGGCGAATCGTGAGCTTCGAGGGGCGCGGCGTGGGACCGATCGGCGCGGAGATGAAGTTGGCTTAAGTCGGGCATGTCCCCCTCTACAGAAGGAATAATCAAAAATGGTCAAGCACAATAGCCTGGGGACGATTTTTTTGAAGTATTTTTGAATTGTTGAGTGTATGTTTGATAATTTTTCATTTTTCGCCCAAAATCCGCCTGTAGGGGGACACGCCTGACCTGACGGCACGGAGATGAAGTAACCAGGTAATACGGTGATTCCGTTGCGGCGCCAGGTTCTTCAGGCTGTTCCAGCACATCGGAGGCATCGGCATATTTGTTCACTGGACGGCGTGCATGTGGTGACCCCGCGCCCGCCCCTCGCAGTTCGCGGCAGCTCGGCCAGTCTCTTCCTGCGAGGCCTCAGAGGCGGCGTGCCCTCTGGGGCGCGACGGCTTCTGCACTGCCTCGGTGGCGTGCCTTTCCCCATCGGGAGGAGCAATAGGTCATGAAGATGATTCGGTCCGAGTTTTGCACGGTTTCAAGGATGTCCCAGATGTCGTATCGTTCGACACGGGTGCTGGAAGTGTTGGAGCATATCCTGAGCCAATCTTATCATGACGTAATTGTCATCTTGACCCAGTCATTCTCTCCTCTCCCTCGTCCTTCCGTTCGGCCCTGGCCCTGCGCTCCCGTGGTGCCACACGCGATCTGCGCGTCTCGCCTCTCCTCGCTTTGGCTGTTTGGTTGGGCTCCCTCTCTCCCTCTACGTGCGTTCACGCGGTTCCCCTCACCTGTCCCATCATTATGGTCGTCCTTACGCATGGTCTCTCATGACCCGTCTCGTCTCTCTAATGTCCAACAAAATGGCTCGGTCATATTGTTACGCTCCCTCCTCTGATCCTACTCCGCAACTCTCCTGCAGAGTGGATGGTCCTTCGCCCAGTGGATCGGACGAGATCAAGACTCTGACCTGGCAGACCGACGGTGGGCGGACAAAAAGTGTCCACACCCATCGCGCCAAGATGATGCGGCATCGAGTTGCGTCGAACAAATATCAATAGCCGCCGTCCTCCAACCCAACGTTGACGGGGCTGGATGCGAGGCAACCCGCGGGGGACAAAATATGGACACACTACAACTTTGATTTTGGGGGTGAGGGGGGGCGAGCCACATGTCTATCGCAATCGTCGTTGCCATATGATCGATTGTCTTCACGCCGTCGGCGTGGACACTTCTTGTCCGGGCACCGGAGTGGAAAGGGGGAGGCCGAGGGCCAGACGGGCGGGGACGACAGAGGAGGGAGCGGACGAGGCTGGGCAGGCCGGGTGCGCTCGCGCCGTGTCTTGCACTCCACCCCTCCCTCTCAGGGGCGGTCGCCCGTCGTGTGGCCAGTGCTTCCTAGCCCATGGGGCTGCTGGAGGCACTCTTTCGGTCAGTGAGGTCGCCCTCACTGCCAGCAGTGGTTTCGCAGCCGCCGCTGCTGGTTTGTTTTTGTCACTCGGCTGTGCGGGCGTTGAGCTCAAGAAAAAACTCCCTCCCATCCCTCCGTCCACGGACGCGTGTCATAGCTCGCCTGGAACTCCCCAGCGACCCCATCGCGTCGTGTGCAGTCGGAGAGGGAGGCGCGTGGGGCCAGAGTGCACCGGGGGACCTCTGTGTGGTCCGTGGGGCCCGTGAGGCCTGCGACACTGGTGGGACCTGTGGAGCCTGTGGGGCATTTGGGACCTGTGGGAGCTGTGGGACCCATGAGACCCGCGAGACCTGTGGGACCCGTGGCACTGGCTGGACCTACAGGATCTGCAGGACTTGGGGGGCCTCTGGGGGACCTGCGAGACATCCAGCACCTCGGGGACCTGTGGGACCTGTGGGACTTGCGGGACCTGTCGGACTTCTGGGGCATGCGAGACTTGCGACACCTGCGGGACTTGTGGAACCTGTCAGATCAGTGGTATCTCCGAGACCTTGGGGGCGACCTGGGACATTTGTGGGTCCTGTGGGATCTGAGGAACTTGTGGGGCTTGCGACACCTGTGGGACCTGCGAGACTTGTAGGACCTAGAACAGTGGCGCACGCTGGGGCGGGAGCGCCATTCTAAACAGCGGGCACCGCGCCGATCTGGTAATGAGGCCCACGTTGCAGCGAGAGTACCATGTCAAAAAGCTTGTAAAATAATCGGATTGTCAAAACACATACGGCAAGCCAGTTCGGGCAAATCTTGTGTGTAAACTATTGGACGCGAAGGGGGGCGAACATTCTCAGGACACATTCGGGGTCGATAAGAGAGAATGGTTTGCGCGTCGTAGCGGACGTGGATTTCCCGAGAACGCCGTGTCGTATGATACGCAATCGGGAAGTGGGGCCTGTGTACAAAAGGAGGAGGAGGGAGAGGAAAAGGACAATGAAGAGGAGGAGGAGGAGAAGGACGATGAGGAGGAGGAGGAGGAGGAAAAGGACGATCAGGAGGAAGAGGAGGAGGATGATGAGGAGGAGGAGGATGAGGAGCAGGAGGAGGAGGAGGAGGAGGAGGAGGAGGACGAGGTAGTCGGGGACGGGCCATACGTCCTCGAGATCCGTGGTCACACAACTTGGACGCTGCCGAGTCCGACTCCTTTCCAGTGGGGCCGGAGCACGCGTCGGGGCCTTCCTCCGAGCCTCCACCTGGGGAAGATCCTCCTCGGATAAACCTCGGGGGCGGCAAAGAGGGGGGGGGATGACCAGGGGGGGGGGTGGATATCATGGCGGGGGCCATGATAGTTCCCAAGATTTCGTGGCGCCTCTTCTTGTTTCATTGCGTCCCTGGCCCCCCCGCCGGGCCGCGCACGTGCGGCCGGTCATGATTTGCACCCCCCCTTCTTGGACACCTCCTTCTTGGCCGCTCGCGAGAACCGATTTGCGAGAACACTTGCCCATGGCCTCACGGGCCCGATGGGTGGCGAGGCACATTTCCGTCTTGAGCAGCTCCACCCGGGACTACGACCCTCATGAAGTTCGCGTGCTCTTCTCGGCGCACTCTTGGGACAAGGCTGCGTGGTCCTCTCCTGTCTCGGTGCAGCGCTTGGTACCAGCGTGATGTTCTTTTTCGTCAAAACCAGGAGCAGTTGGGAACTGGGGGCGGCGCAGGCTGCGCCGCCGCGGCAGGTCTAGCCGTGTCTGCCATGTCGACGTCGGGCTTCTCGGGCCCGTCGGGCGCCTTGGCCGCTGCTGCTGCCGCGAGGCACCAGAGGGAAGCGAGAGCTTCCTTGCCGTCTTGGCTCTCCACGACCTCTGGCGACAGACCTGCGCTGACAACCTCGACTGGGCCCGAGAACTTCATCGCTTGGGCCTTGCACAGCGTCTCCTCCGCCGAGCTCAGGTCGTGGCGCAACGTGTCGGCGAACTTCCGAATCTATCCGAGCTCATTGTCCAGCACAATCTTCTGGCGCGTAATCTCCTGCGCCCGATCCTGAAGTTTCTTGATCTTCTTGCGGGACGCCTCGCACTTCCACCGAGCTGACTGAGCCGTCGGCGGCCGCGTTTCCGCAACCTTCTTCTCGGCGGCCTCCACCGCCGCGCTGCCCCCCGTCTCGATGCCGGCCTCCAGCATGAATGCCAGCTCTTCCGTGTACGATGATGAAAATGGCAGATGCCCCCCCCCGCGCTGCCACCTGCAGACATGTTCGGCTTCTCTGAAGGCGACGGCCCACTGTCGGCGGGAGGCTTCTTTCTGGGGAGCTGCACAATCTGCTCGTGCAGCTGCTTGATGGTCTCACCTTGACTTGGCGGGCTCTGGTGCGCCTCCTCCTCCTCGTACTTGCCAGGCAACGCGCGCTCCTGTCCAATGCGGTTCGCCGCTGCCGCTGCTGGCCTGCTCCAGCAACGTGGCTGGGGCGCTGGTCCCGCACTCGCGGCACTTGATTTGAGTCGGGCACGTCCCTCTACAGGAGGAATATTCAAAAATAGGTAACAAATAGTGTGGGGACGATTGCTTGAGTATTTCTTTGTTTATGGGGGGGTATGTTGGGGGTATTTTGCATCTTGCGCCCAGCATCCGCCTGTAGGAGGACATGCCCGACCTAACATTTGATCCGCAATGCCCAGTTGAGCGGCGCAGAAAACGGGGTCGGCTGCGCCGATTTTGGCGCGTGAGCTCCCCGCGTAAGGTCGCTCGTAAGCGCCCTCGTCTCCGATTAGGCGTGCCGCGTTGGCGGCCGCGCAAGCCACCCCGTAAGGTCGCTAGTTCACCTCGCGTAAGACCCTTTCCTTGAGACTGTTTTTTTAGGGTCGGGCGAGAATCCGGGTTATCGGGCTTGCCCCCTCTCCCCCCCCCCCGGATAACGTAACCTGGCCGGTTGTGCAGGTCCGCGGGAGGGGGGGGCGCGGGCATGTGCAGGGCTGCCCACAGCGCGAGGGTTATTTTATCGGCCGGCCCCCTCCTCCCCCCCCCCTCGGGAGCCTTGAGACGGGGGTTAATGCAAACGGGGGTCGGCCAGATCGCCCGATCTTGCAGGATCCTGCAGGGCCAGGGTCGCACTGACCCCGGTCTGGGTGTTTGATCCTGCAGGATCCTTCGCCTTGACCCGGGTGTGGGTGCAGGATCCGGCAGGATCCTGCAGCATTCTGCAAGGCTTGACGGACCCAGGCCTGGATTGACCCGGGTCAGAAGATCCCCCCCCCCGGGATACCCGGGTTGTCTCAGGAGGGAAAGAAACACACAGACACAATGAATCGGCGATCCCCAGGAAAATATAAGAAAATATGGGCAGTGGGGGGAAGACGAACACCCAGAAAATATGGAAAAAAAACATGTTGTTTTTTTTGTATGTATTTAATTGTGTGTCCTGGGGCCCCTTCAAGACCATTTCACCCAAGCTTCGCCGCTCCCCCGAACCCCCTCCCTTTGGGGCTTCGCCCCAACTCAACGTACATCACTCGTACCTCGCTCTTTCCGTCACCTGCTCGGCACGGGGACGGACAGCGCATTTCCTCTCCGAGCGCGAGGTGTCGCTGGCCTGCCCCTTCTTTCTCTCTGTCTCCCCGTCTGGAGGCTCTCTTGGGGCATGTTGGGCGCCCTCTAGGGCGATCTAGGGCGCCCAGGAGGAGGAGGAGGAGGAGGAGGAGGAGGAGGAGGAGGAGGAGGAGGAGGAGGAGGAGGAGGAGGAGGAGGAGGAGAGGAGGAGAGGAGGAGAGGAGGAGGAGGAGAGGAGGAGGAGGAGGAGGAGGACGACGAGGAGGCCCTTTTACAAAAAACGGTATCCTCGTCGTCGGCCCCACCCCTCGGGGGAGTCTTCGCGCCAGGCGGGAAAAATCGGGCGGCGCGGGGCGACCGGCCGCCTCGAGGGGCGCATAGGGCGGGCGGCGCGCGAGGCCACGGCCCGGCTCGCTGGCGCTGGCCTTCCGTCGGGCCTGTGCCTCGACAGGGGGTCACCACCCACCAAACCACCCCAACCCAACCAGAAGGCCTCAAATTGACCTCCATTTCCAGTGGGGGGGGGTCGGGGAACATCGAGAAAACACATATGGAACCCGTACCCCCCCCCCAACCCGAAATTCGGGTCTTCGGGTTGGGTTGGGGTGGCCTGGTAGGTAGTCAGGGGGAGTGTTCAAAGCAATAGTTTAATTCGGTAGCAGGTCATGGGAGCCTGGTGTGCCCTTTCAATTCCGTCTTCAGCGTCGGTTAGCGTCGATTAGCGTCTGGGGGTCGATGAGAGAACGCCGATTTAGCGTCAGTTAGCGTCGGTTAGCGTCGATTTAGCGTCGATTAGCGTCGACTAGAGTCGATTAGCGTCGATTCGCAAGAGCCGACAAGATGGTATAGGAGGCTCCCATGAGTTGCCATCGAAGTTTAAAAAGTAGTCGTCGGGACTATTGTTTGACCATTTCTGAGCATTTCCAGGGCACGTTTTTGCTAGGTTGAATGGTTCGTCCAGAGTGTTCAGAGATAGTAGAACAAAAAGTCATCGGGACTATTGTTTGACCATTGTTGAGCATTCTCAGGGCATGTTACTGGGTATGTTTAAGTTTTCGTCCAACACCGGCCTGTAGGGGGACATGCCCGACTGAAGACTAGCCGCTCTGAAGTTCGCGCGCCTGCATGCTCAGCGCCTCGAAAGCCTGAGCCAGAACGGCTAGGAGGAGGAGGAGGAGGAGGAGGAGGAAGAGGAGGTGGTGGATTGGCAAGAGAAAGAGCACGAGGAAGGGGAGGATGATGACGGAGGCTGTGTGTGCAAAGTCAGAGCCTTAATTTAGTCATCAACCTCGCGCTTTTCTTGGTGTGATGAAACGGCGAACTGCCTTTCTCTCTGCTTCTGCTCCTCGGTGCGCCGCTCGCGCTCCCCTCCGGCTCTTATCCTTCGCCCCCTTCTCTATCCTCAGCCGCTCCCTGCTCCAATTGTCCGTTATTCGCTTGGCCCCGGAGGTGGCCCTTGAGGCTTTGGCATGGGACCTCCCCTCCGCTCTTCTTCGCCCTCCCCCCGCGCGACTGTCCAGACCGTTGCACCTCCCGCGAAGAATTCGCGAGAGTCCGGGCCCCCTGCAAAAAAATCGCGAGAGTCCCGCGGAAGATTCGCGTGAATCTTTCGCGCCGTGCACTGTCCTCTGAGGCGCCCCCCAGACTAACTCGCCCCCGTGCAACCCCCTGGGCGATTCGCGCAAGACCACCCTGTGCGACTCGTGCCGGAATTGAGCGGCGTTAACCCCCGGGGCGACTCCACCGCTCGGACCGACCCCCCCCGGGCGAGTCGGCCCGTACACGTCCTGGACCCCCCCCGGGCGATCCAGGACCCCCCGCACCCTCCCAGGCGAGCGGGGGCGCCTACGGTAAATGCCCCCGCCTAAGCTCCCCCTTTTGAGGCAATTTTGGCGGGGGCGATCCGTGCCGGGGCGGCAGTCGAACCGCCCCGGGCGATCGACCGCGGCAGATCCTTCCCACATAGAAAACACAAACACACACAGCAAAAACACACACAACAACACAACACAGCACACAAAACACATCGAACAATACAAAACAACACCGGACGGAACAGGAACAACACAAAAACATATCACAACCACACACGCGCACACAAAAAAACAATTAAATTATGGCTCTGGCTTTGCACAGCTAACGGAGGAGGACCACGACGAACAGCAGCAGCGGGAATTGGAGTGGAAGGAGCGGGAGAGGGAGGGGGACCATGGGAAGGCGTAGGAGGGCAAAGGAGGATGGCGACGCGGATGAGGAAGGATTCGGATCCAGAAAAAGGTGGCCCGCGTTGTGGCGGTAGCGCCATTCTGAACGTCAGGAGCAAGGCCGCGAACACCATCTTAGAAGGACCGAGATCTTTCGGATAGGAAAGACACATGGGACGTCAATAGTTTGGCACCGCCTCGAGTGTAAACAAAATGATTCGCGGAGGGGGTCGGGTGACTTCCCGGTCATCTTCGGGGACGAGGGGGGGAGTTGGAGGTTGGGAGGTGAGGGCGAAAATGGTCGAAGTGAAATGGAGATCCCCCTTGGAAATTGGTTTCGGTTTCGTGCTTTTGCCCTTTCTGCGGGCTGGATGATGTTGCGCTCGCGGGGGAGAGGCGTGATCCCCCGTCGTTGCCAGGGCGAAATCGGAGCACAACACTCTCCTCCTGTTTGGTTGGGGGGTTGGGCCCGCGGTTGTCCCGTGGCTGTCCCGTGGTTGTCCCACGGCTGTCCAGTGGATGTTGTGTGGTTGTCTCGATGGTTGTGCCGATGGTTGTTTCGGCCAACATAAATTGTTCGGCGCTTTCGCCGCGTCGAGACTTCGGCACATGCCTTTGTTGGCTTGATGGTTGTTTGTATGGAGAGAGGGTGCGGCAGACAGGTATCTAGTACATGTAGAACACCGACTGCGATCTCGATGGAGGGATCGATCCTGAGGTTGGCAATTGTAGTGGTACATTGTGGGAACGACGTAAAGACAATGCGATCGTTCGATACAGAGGACGAACAATCGATAGATCGTGGCATCGGCATATGATGATATTTACACATGCACATGCGTATAGGCCGCTGCTTGTGTACATTCACATATGCAACTACCAATGCGTAGTGATCGATCAACGCATAGTGGTATCGATCATGATATCGACCGATATGTACCGTTAGGTATACATAGTGACATCGGGAAGCATATATGTACACATACGGAGTGGTACAGGTAGGGAGGTCGATATTTATATTCTTCTAGGTGCAACGGTGTCGTTCTACGCACACCTGCAAACGTTGACATGCGTATACGCATAGTTATGTGATAGGGTCGATAGAGCGTGAGCCCTAGAAATATTGTTCGATGGATGGGTCTAGTTGTCCAGATAGTTCGCCCGTTGTTGTTTTCCCCCAGCTCCCTTACCGGCCACTGGCCCGCCTCTTACGTTGTATTTATATAAAGTAATTGTGGAGACGGGGGGGAAGAAGAAGACGAGAAGGAGGAGGCGGATGAGGAGGAGGAAGAGGAGGATGAGGAATGTGGGAGAGGTGTGGAGTGAGAGAACGAGTTGCAGGTTGAGGCGGAGGAAGGGATGAATGAGGAGCAGGAGGAGTAGGAAGAGGAGGAGGAGGAGGTGGAGGGTGAGGAGAATGGGGTTGGGGGAGGGGAGGAAAAGGAGGATGGGGAGGAGGAGGGTGGGGAAGAGGAGGAGGGGGAGAAGGAGGGGGAGAAGGAAAGGGAGCAGGGGGAGGGGAGCGGGGGGAGGGGGAGGACGGGGAGGACGAGGGAGGGGAGGGGAGGAGGGGAGGAGAGATCGGGGGTGAGAAGTCCGCTGCATGCAGCTGGTTTCGGCCCCCCCCGCCGTCCGGCCTGGCCAGGGGCGGTGGCTTTGCATAGATCAGGTTGCCCTGCCGCGAGCGCGTTCCGGGGGCGAGGTATTACGTCGGCGTGCACGGGGACGACAACGGCAAGTCGGGCCCTTTGTGTGCTGGCTGCCCTGCGCCACAGAGCCGCGCCGTGCCTGCCTCCGCGCGCGCCCTCTGCTCCAGGTCGGCTGGCCATCTCAGGAGTCAGTGAGGATTTATACCCCGTGGAGGAATATGTACATATAGACATGTACATATAATTTCCAGTAACACTAGTCATACGATTACTACTGATACTACGACTGGCACTAACAATAGCATTAATAACAGCAACAACACCAACAACAAACACACTAACAACACCAACGAAACCACATGGAGTCCCTGGCCATGGAGAGCCCCTTCCGCATCAAGCCAGACAGCCGCGAGATCGTCACGTCATCTCCGGGCACATTCGAACCGCACATGTGGCACATGCGGGAAGCGGACTGGCGACACGTACCCGCCATGAAGGTTTTGGGGATGGTGGTGTCTTGCAACGGCACAGCTTCTCAGTGCTCGACATCGACGAAGCAGTCCATTAGGAGAGCGTTTTCGGCCAACCAGAGGGTTCCCCTTGACCAGAGCGTGCCAATAGATCAAAGGTTCAATGTATGGTATTCTATTTCTAATGGAATCATAGGTTATAGAGCGGCCCGCTGGCCCATGGCAAAAACAGCATTGACGACGTGGGATACCCATCACAACAAGCTAACTGCCAGGATCTCGCTGCAGCGTCAGCGGCCGGACGAAACCGAGGCAAGTTTCCAAGTGAGGCGCGCACATGTCATCCGCAGCCAGTGCCGTTTAACATGGAGTGATCTCATAATTCGTTCGCATGTAAGTTGGGCACAGAACGTTCTGCGCCACCCTGAGAGCCTGAGCAATCTGATTGTGCGCGTCCAGAACGAGGAGTGGATGCAAGAACGACGCTCTATGCACTTGTCCAGAGACTGCCCCGTCTTCGCGGGCAGGACGCGCACTCGAGCCCAAGCAGGCCGGCTCGTCCGTTGGGATGGCCCATGGCGTGCCGAAGTCCGAGCAAATCCGCGCCGGGACCCAGAGATCGCCCACGTAGAGTGCGTGTGAGGAATATAATTTTTCACAGATGATAGTTTTTTGTTGATCGGTGCAGGAACCTTAGCTCGTGTAACGCTTCAATGAATGAATAAATGAATGAATGAATGAATGAACAACAGCACACATACATCTATATATGTATATATACATATATATATATTTATGTGTAGCGATGTAGCTGCATTTTCCTCGTCGCCATGGCTGGCTTCGCGGACAAGGAGGGGCACACTCATGTACGCGACGCCCAAGGTAGATACGGAACACATGGGCACGATGCCCAATAACATAATGTGTCCCAAACCGACAGCGACCGCTGTAGGGCAGGGTACGCTCTGCCTCAAAAAGGACAACGTCCGCGGTGACGCCAGCATTGAGCCGTGCTGAAAATGGACAGGAATTGTTGTCGGCCTCCATCCCAATTCTTTCCGTACCCCCCCTCCGATCGTGCAGAATGTGGTTGGGCGCGTGCGTCTTTTGTGGCCCCCTCTACGATGCGACGAGCGCCACGGTGCTCCGCAGGCATGTTCTCGCCCCGAGTCCCTGCTTTCCGCCCGAAGAGTCACGCCGCTCAGAAAAGGGGGGGAACTCGGGGGTAGACTGAAGTCGGGCATGTCCCTCTCCAGGAGGAATGTCCAAACATACTCTAAACATAATAAGGGGAACGGTTTTTCTAGTATGGTTTGCCTATTTGGTGGCATGTTTGCATACGTTTAACTTGTCCTACAACATCTGCTTGTAGGGGGACATGCCCGACCGAAGGGTAGAACCCTTTGGGCCTACCTGCACGCACCCTTATCGAGGATGGACGTTCTACGTCGTGTATCTTCGAGTCTGGCTTCAGTTTGTCGGCCGAGTCAAACAGTCTCCGCAACATCGAGGATTGGGGGCGCCATGCACCCCATTAGCGTGTTCGGCTTGAGGAAGCGCCTCGAGGCCTCGCATGGCGCGCAACAGGTTACATTGCGAAGGCATTACGGCCGATGCCGCCGACCCTGTAGGCAGCGACGACGAAGACAATGGAGGTAGAGGAGTCCAAGATGCCCTCAGATGGCTCGACGACGGCGCCAGATGCCTGCAGGGTCGTCCGAAGTCAGCTCAAGAGGCCTCCTCCAGGGTTCGGGAACGGCTTGAGAGAGCGCCTCGAGGCCTCGCATGGCGCGCAGCAGGTTGTGCTTGTGCTCGCCTCGCGCGCCCCCGCCATCAAAGACGTGCTGCACAGGATGGTCAGGCAACCATGGTGAGCTGATGATGCGGAGAAGTAGGGGGAGAAGGAGGGGGAGGAGGAGGAGCAGGAGGAGGAGGAAGTTGAGGAGAAGGAGGGGGAGGAGGAGGATATGGACGACGACGAGAGGATGATGCTGATGAGGTTGATGATGATGATGATGAGGAGGAGGCGGAGGAGGAGGTGCAGAAAAAGGAAAAAGAGGAATATGAGGACGAAGACGAGGCGGGCGACGAGGGCAAGGACGAGGAGGAGGACGACTACGAGGACGAGGAGGAAGACGAGGAAGAGGACGAGGACGGAACGGATGACGATGGAGGAGGGTGAGGACGAGGGCTCTGGCAGCCATCTGGGGGGTATGATTAGTGCCCTCTGGGGTTCCTCTTGTGGCTTCCTCGGGGCCCTCTCGGGGCCCTCTTGGGTTTCTTTTGTGGGGTCTTGGGCCCTCTTGGGGCTCTTTTCGAGAGTCGGGGCCCTCTTGGGGCCCCCTTGGGGCTCTCCTGGGAGCCTTGGAGGGGCTCCTGGCGCCATTCTGGGGGCCATCGATCAAAAGGTGGGGAGCATATCTAGGCCCCCCCGCTAGGGCCCTCAACATCGTCGATTTAGGCCCTCTTGGTGCCCTCTTGGGGCCGTCTCGGGGGCCTCCTTGCCCCTATTGGGGCTCTCGTGAGCCAGTTTGGGGCAGACTGGAGGCCTGGCAGCGAGTCGGACACGAAAAGGCGAGAAGGCAATGCTCATCGATTTTCTGTTTTGGGCCTCTTAGAGGAGTCCTGAGGTGGCTCCGAGTGCACTTGGAAACGCTTTATGGCTCTTTTGGTTCCTCTTGGGGCCATACTGGATGCTATCTTGATCGATCTACCACTATCCCGAGCCATTTGGGATGCCAGCTTGCTTGGAGCATCGGAGGCTCTCTTGGAGCCATCTTGGGCGAAAAGGACCCTCTGCCACCTCGTGCCCCCCCGCAGCAACAACTCAGGTAAGGGAGGGGAGGGAACCCCTCCACGAGGGTCTCTTGAGGCGAGGGAAGACGGAGATCATCAGACCACCTACGCCCAGCGCCCGCTCCGTCAGACATGGGACGACGCTCGCGCGGCGATGTTCCGACGTATGTCCGACGTGAGTCCGATTTACATCCGACGTAGGCCCGACGTAATGACGGCGTGAATCCGACGCGGATCCCATGTAAATCCGGTCAAGTTCGGGGGAACAGATAAGGACATAAGCATAATCAGTCGGATGGCCGCGCGGATTTCTTGGATTTGCGCCGGGTCTTCCCTGGCGGCGCCTACGGACGCGCGCTCCGCTGGTCAGGGAGGGGGCTCCAGCGCCGATCCAAGAAATCCGCGCGGATCTCCGACAATGTATGTTCCCCTATCAGTGCTTGCACTGAAGGGGTACTAGCGGATCTTGAAGGATTTGCTGAAATTGGGTGGCCGATTTTGGTAGGCCGCTGGGTTCCCGGGTTTCGGGTTCCAGGCTCCCGGGTTCCCGATTCTTGGTTCTTGGTTCTTGGGTGCCAAGTTCTGTTTTCCCGATCGCGGGGTTTCTGGGTTCCAGGTTCCGGGTACGATCGATCGATAGAGATCAACATATCATTATAGATCTCACTATCGATCTCACCACCGATCGCATTATGGAATTCACGGTCGATCTCACGATCGTTCTCATACTCACACCAATTGTTCAGATCATCCATTTATATTTTTTTGTCTCTGGTGAAATGTATGCAATCTTTGGTTCCCCGAACGTTGCTGCTGCTGTCGCTGACAGATGGGACCACTTGGGGCTCACGAGCGGCTTTGGTTTCAGGGCCATTCCTCTGATCTTGGTCGGGGGACTTCTTCTCACCACCCGCCAAACCACCCCAACCCAACCTGATGGCCTCAATTTGCCTTCCATTCCCAGTGGGGGTAAGGTCGGGGAACACTGAAAAACACACGGAACCCGTACCCCCCCAACCCGAAACCCCCCAACCCGAAATTCGGGTCCAATTCGGGTCTTCGGGTCTGGTAGGTAGTCATCTTCGTGGCCGAGGCTCGCAGGGGCGGGGGACGCCCCTTCGATTCTCATGTGGCGCTCCTCGCGGCAGCACGGCGACTGCACGCAGCCCATGCCACGCTTCTGTGCGCGGAGGATATTCGTAGGGGGCCACATGCGAACCCTACCCCTACTTACCAGCCTGGAACATATCCCTATCCCTATGCTGGGCATCTCTTCATCACGACGCCAATCTTAGGGAGTCTCTCTTTTTTTGTGAGGGCGAATCCCTAAAGATTGTCATCGCCTTTTGGCGTGTCAATCTTAGGGATAGGGATACGTTCGAGGCTGGTTATATTTGTAGGGGGCCACATGCGAACCCTACCCCCCACGATCTCCGAGGGAGAGGGTGGGGTTCACTCCGTGGGGTTCCCTTCGTGCGCAAGGCCGGGGAGGGCACGGGGAGGCGCCGGGCCCCGGGCCAGCAGGCCCCCTCCTCCCAGGCTGGTCGGGCAGGTAGGTGCCTCTCTGCGTCGTGCCTCCTGCGGGCTGGGAGCGGCCAGGGGGGAGCGCTGCCCCGGCAGGGCCCCCGATGTCTTCTCCGACGGGGTTTCGTGGCGCCTCTTCTTGTTTCCATGCGTCCCTTGACCGGAAGGGGCCCGCTCCCGACCCGCAGACCAAAAAATGGTTTCCATGCGTCTCTGGCCCCCCCCCCCGCCTCCCCTCGGGCCGCGCACATTGCGCCGGCCACGATTCGCGCCCCCCCCCCCGCCCTCCTGGACGCCCCCCTCTGGGACGCCCCCGAGCAGGGGCCGGGCAGGGCGTGGGGGCGGAGAAGGGGGGCGGCCGGCGAGGGCGGCGAGGGCGGCGTCAGGGCCCATCCTCGATCCGCTCGGCCCTCTTCGGCATCGAGGCCGGCGGGCCTGGTGCGATTCCGGGTCGGTTTTGGTCTTCGGCGAATTTTGGGGGCGGCGAAGACGGGGGTGGTGAGTAGGGGGGGGTGGATATCATGGCGGGGGCCATGATGTTTCCCCAGATCTCATGGCGCCTCTTCTTATTTCATTACGTCCCTGGTCTCCCCGCTGGGCCGCGCACATGCCGCCAGTCATGATTTGCACCCCCCCTTTTGGACACTCGCCTCTTTGCCGCTCCCGAGATTTGGTGCGGCCCGATGTTTGCTGGCGCACTTGATCTGGTTCGATTTCGACCCCGTGCAGCACAGGTGCAGCCCGATCCGACGCTCGTTCCGATTCGATCCGATCTCCCGCTGCGATGCTGAGTGATCTTTCTGGACGCCCGAAATGGGTACGGAAAGAATGGGTACGATGCCCAAGAGCAGTTCCTGTTCATTTCGGACAGGGCTCGCTGTCCACGCCGCCGCGGCCTGTGCCCATTTGAGACAGAAGGCCGCCTGCACAGCGACCGCTGTTGGTTTGGGGCAACATTTGTTGTTTGGGGCAACGTTTGTTGTTGGGCAGCATGTGTTGTTCGGGGACACGGGGAGGGGATCAGTGCGCCTTCTGGTGCATTTCACGCTGACGTCTTCTCTGGATTCATGGTACCTTTGCCCCACTTCCTGAAAGAGCACGGATGGGCGCACGTGCGAAGCGGGAACAGCTGGGAGGTGGCGAGGGAAATCGGATGGGAGCGCGGATCGTGACGAGAATCAGTATCGTTTAGCCTATCCCCATCGCCACTGGACCTCGGCATCTCAGCCCCGCCATCCCACCAGCCCAGTTGAGGGTGGGCCCCCTGAAATCCGAAGGGAATAGCCTATATCAGAGTGAGGGGGCCGAACGGTCATTCACTGTTCCCGGGTGCGTGGCTGAAGTGGGATTCCGCGGTGCGGAATATTGTTGTTGTTGTTGCTGTTGTTGTTGTTGTTGTTGTTGTTGTTGTTGTTGTTGTTGTCGTTGTCGTTGTCGTTGTTGTTGCTGCTGCTGCTGTTGTTATTATGGTTGTTGGTTGTTGTTTGTTGTTGTTGTTGTTGGTGTTGTTGTTGTTGTTGTTGTTGTTGTTGTTGTTGCTGTTGTTGTTGTTGTTGTTGTTGTTGTTGGTGTTGTTGTTGTTGTTGTTGGTGTTGGTGTTGTTGTTGTTGTTGTTGGTGTTGTTGTTGTTGTTGTTGTTGTTTTTGTTGTTGTTGCTGTTGTTGTTGTTGTTGTTGTTGTTGTTGTTGTTGTTGTTGTTGTTGTTGTTGTTGTTGTTTGTTGTTTGTTGTTTGTTGTTTGTTGTTGTTGTTTGTTGTTGTTGTTGTTGATGTTGTTGTTGTTGTGTTTTGTTTTTTTGCTGTTGTTTGTTGTTTGTTGTTTGTTGTTTGTTGTTTGTTGTTGTTGTTGTTGTTGTTGTTGTTGTTGTTGTTGTTGATTTTGTTGTTGTTGTTGTTGTTGTTGTTGGTTGTTGGTTGTTGGTTGTTGTTGTTGTTTGTTGTCGTCGTCCCACCCGCAACCTGCCCGCGACCCACCCGCGACCCACCCGCGCCCCCCGCGACCCACCGCGACCCCCGCGACCCACCCCGCGCCCGCGACCCACCCCGCGAACCACCCGCGACCCACCCGCGACCCACCCCGCGACCCACCCCGCGACCCACCGCGACCCACCCGCGACCCACCCGCGACCCACCCCGCGACCCACCCCGCGCGCGCCGCGACCCCCCGCGACCCACCCGCGACCCACCCCGCACCCGCGACCCACCCCGCGACCCACCCGCGACCCATCTTCGATCCAAACCACGTTCAAGGTACAAACCACCATTTTCGGCGCCTGCGGCGGGCTTTTTGTTGCATTCTTTCCAGGTGGGGAGCCCGCGACCAACTCGCCACCAACCCGCGATCCAAACCACGTTCAGGGTACAAACCACATTTTTCGGCGCCTGCGGCGGGCATCTTTTGCATTCGTTTCAGGTGGAGAGCCCGCGGCCCACCCGCGACCATGTTCAGGGTACAAACCATATTCTTCGGCGCCTGCGGCGGGCATCTTTTGCAGTCGTTCCCGGTGGAGAACCCGCGGCCCACCCGCGACCCAAACCACGTTCAGTGTGCAAACCAAATGTTTCGGCGCCTGCGGCGGGCTGCTTTTGCATTCCTTCCAGGTGGAGGTGGAGAGCCCGCGACCCACCCGCGACCCAAATTCACTGAACAAACCAATGCCGCACAAGCGCGGCGGCGGATTTTTGCATGCCGTCTGAGCCCGCAACGACCTCTTCAAGCCCCGCGCATCCACGCCAGCCCGTCCAGCAACTTTGCCCTGGCGAGTTGCCTTGATCAGAGAAGTCGGGGAGCATAAAGTGGAAAAAAGGATTGCGTTGCCGTTATCTTGGGAAAGGAGGGGGAGGCAGGAGGAGTAAACAGGGGACGAGGAGGACGCGGAAGAAGAGAGGATGTAAGGAGAATGTGGAGAAAGAAGAGGAGGAGCAGGAGGACGAGGAGGGGGAGGAGGGGGAGGAGGGGGAGGAGGAGGACGAGGAGGGGGAGGAGGGGGAGGAGGAGATGATGATGGACGACAATGGGAGGACGATGATGGAGGCCGATGAGGGGGAGGACGACAATGGGAGGACGATGATGGAAGGACGAGGGGGGGAGAGGGAGGACGAGGAAGAAGAGGAGGAGGAGGACGAGGTGGAGGAGGAGGATGACGATGACGATGAGGACGAGGACGAGGACGAGGAGGAGGAGGAGGAGGAGGAGGAGGAGGAGGAGGAGGAGAGCGCCATCGACAGGGAAGGTGGGGGCCACGAGGTCCGCCGGCTCGACGACGCCCGCGTCGCCCGCGCCCGCCCCCTCACTCTTATCTGCAATTGCGGGGTGCTACGTATCCCCATCTAGGGGGGGCCAGTTGGGCCCAGGCCACGCCGAAGATAGGGACCGGTCAACAGATGTTCAGATAAGAAGGATTCGGGTTGGGAGACGCAAGTGGCGAAGGGGATCTTTTGCACCCTGCTTGCTGCCGCCCAAGGTCGTGGGTCAACCACATGCTCGTCGAAGACTGGCGGGCGAAACGCGGCATGACACAATCGGAGGGTTTCAGCTATACTTGTACACCGATCCTGGCCAGGTACATCCTGGGCCCCGGGTGAGCCTGGCCGGGACCAGTGCAGATGTACAGTTGGCGTCCTCCCACACAAGCTTCTCCGCCATCGGGAACGGCTGTCCCACGGCGGCCGAGAAGTCTGTACCCCGACGCGCCACCGTTGGGGGAGAAACTGTCCGGCCGCCTTGGGACATGCTTCCCCGAGTGCAGACTTGCGTTTTAGAGCTCGGATAGTTTTTCCTATCGTCGTCGTTCGTTCGCTTGTCGCCCCCTGGGCCCCCCTACCACAATATTCAACCTCAAGAGAACAACAGGATAACCCAAAGAACCCCACCTACTCACTCTGCTTCTCCTGGCCCTCGCTTTCCTCGTTGCACGAACTAGGACATGCGCGCCACTTCGGTGTGTGCATTCTTCCCTTTGGCTCCCATGAGCTCCCATTGTAGTCCCTATCCGTTCCCCTGACCTTTTTTGAATCGGCGATAACCTGGGTTATCCGGGGGGGGAGGGAGGGCGGGGGGCCGGCCGATAACCTAACCTTCGCGCTGTGGGCAGCCCTGCATATGGCCGCGCGCACCAGTGCTGCGACCCTCACAACTTCTAACGATGCTGCCGCGATGCTACTAGTGGTGCTGCGACGATGCGGGTGCCGTCTGAGAATGCCAAAGGATGTCTGGACAGCTCGCATTGGAATACGCGGGATGTGGTTGCAAAGCGTAACCGCGAAATCGTGTGTACATTATCTATCCTGGGGGGGGGGTAGGGGGGGCGAGCCCGATAACCCGGGTTATCGCCGGACCCCAACAAAAACAGTCTCCATCTATATCCGTATCCCTTTGCCCCGGTCCCAATCCATGCCTTCTACCCTTATCCTATATCCCTACATGTTCCTATCCATGTACCCTAGCCCTATATCCATACCCTTTTCGCTGTCCCGATCTCCCGCCATCGTGATCCCTCATCGTGGCCGCCTTCCCCTCGTAACCGCGTAGAGCTGTTCAGGGCCTTCTGCCGCAAGGGTGTCGTCTCCTTGTGCCGCTCCTCGGCACGCTAGAGGATTCGGGCGGGGCTAGGACATGGATACATCGTTTAACAGGGTTCCGGGACGCTTTGAGGGGGCCGCGGCGCCCAATACATCCTCCTGCATCGCCGAATCTCAGAGATCCCCGATTTATTGATGTCCGATGTCCCTGTCCTTGACTTGTCTTATGTTCGTACTATACCTCGTCCGCTGAAGGAGGGCGGGAACTTCGACCCCCACCACGACCAGTTCGCTCGCTACTGGTTCTCCGTTTACTTCGTCCTGGAGACGATGACGACAGTAGGCGCCTTTGTGTCTGTTGCATCGCCCCAGGCGGGGAGTCATCCATAACCACCGCCTGGGGGATCGATTTTCGGGGACCTCGGCAGGCGGTGGATCTTGATGTATTGGGGGCCTTGGGGCCGACAGATATCCATATTCACCTCCCGCTGCTGGGATCGTGGCGGGGGTCTGCTAAGGAGTTAATGAGGGAAGTGTTCTGTCCAGGATGGGTTACATCTGGCCTAGCCTGGCTGATCAATGGGTTACACATGCTCTGAGTGGCCAGGGGGGGTAACGCTCCGGGCACACTGGGCTTCGCCTACTTCGCGGAGTTGTCGGACCAGCTCCGCGTTTGGGGCAGTTGAGCCCCTTTTGTAAAACAAGAGTCGGCCAGATAGAGCCCACCCTGACATCCTGTGGTTACTCACCTGATCATCCCCTTAGCACCCCGCGTTCAGGAGGGGAACAAAAACACACACAGACACAATTAATCGTCGACCCCCAGGAAAACATAGGAAAATATGGGAAGTGGGGGGGAAGACAGAAACCCAGAAAATATGTTAAACAAGGGGGATCTTTTTATTTGTGTGTATTTATTTCTGTGTCCTGGGGCCCCTTCGCCCGTGCCGATCCCAGCGGCGTTGCAGAGCGTCGGTCCCCCGGGCGGTGGACGTGGAGGAGCCCCTGCCGCGCGCACGTCGGGCTCCGCCGCGGCCGTGACGCGGCGGTCTCCCCCCCGGAGATCTCGCCACGAGGCAAGCGGCGCCCCGAGGGAAGCGGGCCCCGAGGCTCTATGCCTCCCAGATGGGGTCGGAGTAGATGGGGTCGGAGGATCGCGCCGCATCGCCGCTGCATCGCCGATGCGGCTCGATGCGGAGACCGATTTTCGCCACGCTGGCGTCGCCGATGCATCGCCGACGTCGCCGATGCATCGCCGATGTATCGGCGATGTATCGGCGATGCGGCGCGATCCTCCGACCCCATCTACTCCGACCCCTATCGAGGAGGCCTTTAGAGGCTTCCTGCTTTCTGCGGTCCCTCGAGTAGGGGATCGACTGCAGGATGGATCTGCCCCGGGATTGAGTTTCTTGCCGAGTTTACTAGAAAAGCGTGGGAAGCTCGCAGATCTACGGGACAGGCTTCGCATTTCCCCTTGATTCGATTGAACAGCAGTTCTGGGGGAGATCAATTCTGTAGTCGATCCCCTACTCGAATCCCCAATCTCCGATGCAGCCTTGAGTCTAGCAATATCCGGGCCTCTTTCCCAGATGTCTGCCCCTGGGGTCTGTGTTCGTGGGTTCCCGAATGTGCTTCACACACGTGATGCGTTCCAGCAGTTGCGCCTCGCCGAGGTCGTGCCGGGGGTGCCAGAATCGTCCCGAGCGTCCGCTGGAGTTCCGAGTTACGACCTGGAAACCTAGATTCGCGGCGAGCTGTGTTTTCGGCCTTGGAGTGCAACCTTTTGTTCAAACCTGGAACCCGTTTTCGGGCTCCTGGGCCATCAGGCATGGTCCCAACACAAAAAACATCACCCCCAGGCAAAGGGTCGGGACCGTTTCGGGGCCACGCGTGAAACGAAGCACATCGTCAGATGTCAAGATTCTTGGCCCCCTTGGGCCTGCACGTGCACGGGCCTCTGGACCTGTCAGCAAACTGCTCGAGTTGGAAGGCCTCGGCCTTGGTGACAAAGTCCCTGGATCCAGAATCCAGAACCTGGTTCCCTCAGGACCCGCCCAATTATGCTTGCGTGGCGCGGCTGTGCATCGTGGCGCTGCCAGTGTGGTTCGGTTCCGACTCCGCGCGGATGCTGCCCGATCCCACGCGCTTTCCGATTCCATCCGACCTCCGCGTTTGATTCTGACTCAGCCTGCCTTTCAGGGGACGGGGGATTCTGACCTGTCGGCTGGGGCGTTCCCCTTCGAGGAGCAGTCCAAACCTCCAGCCAGGGCCCTGAGATGGGGACCGCACTTGGTTCAGGGAGGCTCTGCCGTCAGGCCGGCAAGTTTCTGTTCAGATCGCTGCTACGGGGACGGGTCGTACTGCCTGGGCCCCGGGTGGCACCGCCCCGGCGTGCGGTGTGCTGCCAACGACGTTCGCGGAGGCAGCCGTCCGTCACGCGCGCGGTCCTGCACTCCCCTGCGCGGGTCGCGTGTGGCGGGCTCCCTCCCCGCCCACTCGGGTGCCATCGCCTGCGCCGGGCACCGCCCCTCGAGGCGTTGGGCGCCGCACGCGCGGCGCCACGACCGCTCGGCGTGCGCGCCGCCAAAGCAAATCCAGGTCGCCCAGGTCCCGGTCGGGGAGCCTGCTCGTTGCTGGGGCTCGCCGCGGAGGCCCGTCCGTTCCTCGCTCGGTCCTCCTCCTCTGCGTCGGCACGATGGCTGCGCGGTGGTGGTGTGGGGGGGGGCCGCGCGTCCCTCCCCGCTCTGCTGCCCTTCCTCCTTCCCCCACCCTTCTTTGCGAAGTCGTGCGCGCTGAGAGCTTGGCATCGCTCGGACGTGTTTTTTTGTTGTTGTGTTTTTTCCCCGGCGACGACCATCGAGGAGCATCCTTGATCATTTGGCGAAAAAACACACGAAACCGAAAAAAAACACAGGGAATGGTCGTCCGAGCGATTGCCAGTTCCTCCTTCCCCCATCCTTCCTTGCGAATTCGTGCGCGTGGAGAGCCTGCCGCGGTGAACGCCCGTCGGCTTCTGCTGTCGGGGCCGCGGCGGCAGCCGCGAGCCTCACAGGCGCGGCGCCTGCAGCTCAGGTTGCCCCCTCCCTCCGCGGTCCCGTCGGGGCCCTCCGAAGGATGGGGGGCTGCGCGCGGGCAGACGTCCCCCCCCCCCCGGTATTCGTCGTGCCCCTGCCCTCTTTCAGGAGCTGAATAAGGGGGGGAGGAGGAGGAGGACGAGGAGGAGGAGGAGGAATCCACGCTGGTTTCGAGAGTATGCAGTGCCCGAATGTTCGTATCATGCGGCCAAGTGTCGCGGATCGATGGGGCCGCGTTCCTGTACACAGCTGGGCACGTACGTCCTTCTTGGGCTTCCTACTCTTTTCCTCCCCGCGCAATGCGCCCAGCTGGGAGGTGTTGCCTCCCCTCCTCTCGGCCTCGCTCTCTCTGGCCGCCTGGGGAGACGGCGTGCGACGTGGCGGCACCGGCCCGCGGATGCCACGCGCTATGTCCCACTTTTGGGGGGTAGCGTGCCCCGACGAGGCCCGGGCAGGGGGACAGCGTGCGCAGAAAGGGCCCTCGCGGGGGATCGCCTCAGAGGGATGGTTTTTTTTGGGGGGGTGGACATCGATTTCCCACGGGATCGTTCCAACGTCAACAAACCAGCTCATCGAACGCCGCCGCTTCTGGCCAGCACGCACGGGGGCGTGCATCGAACTGGTCCAGCAGATGGTTGGTGCTGCCTTGGCCCTGCGTTCTCTCCCCTCGTTGTACTCCTCCCTCCCTGCCCCCCCCCCTCCTCCTCCTTCTCCTCCTCCTCCTCCTCCTCCTCCTCCTCCTCCTCCTCCTCCTCCTTCCTCCTCCTCCTCCTCCTCCTCCTCCTCCTCCTCCTCCTCCTCCTCCTCCTCCTCCTCCTCCTCCTCCTCCTCCTCCTCCTCCTCCTCCTCCTCCTCCCCGTCAGCTTCGTTAGACTCCTTCTCCCGCCTTCGGCATCGTTCGCTTCGCCCGCCCCTCGTTCCTCCTCCCTCCAACGCCTCCCCCCTCCAACTCCTCCCTCCCTCCTTCTCGCTCCTCCTCCTCGTCCCCTCCTCCCTCCTTCTCGTCCCCTCCTCCTTCTCGCTCCTCCTCCTCGTCCCCTCCTCCTCGTCCCCTCCTCCTTCTCGCTCCTCCTCCCCCTTCTGACTCCTTCTCCCGTCTTCGTCCTCCGTCTCCTCGCCCCCTCCTCCTGCTCCACGCCCCCCTCCCGAGCGATTCCGCACAGTAGGGGCAGCTACGCCGCCGCTCGGAAGGTCACCTGTGCCCACCCAGCCCATGTGCGTACCATTTGGCTACCTCGGGAGCGAAAGAAGGACGCGCACGTACATGAATCAACGCTTGTTTCGACTACGCATTTCGCGAACGTTCTCATCACGATGCTGGTCTCGCAGACTGGGGGCCTGTATTCATGTACGTGGTTGGGCGCGTGCGTCCTATGTGGGCTGTCTCTTGCTTTGCCCCCCTTCCCCCTCGGGGGTGGCGCTGAGAGGGACCAGTTGCCTTCCTCGAGATACAGTGTCGCCTCCGGCGCCGGGTGGCGCCAGGAAAACCAGCTACGAGAGTTCATGCTCTAACCTCACCTTTCCTAACGGCCCCCCTCCAGGCACTCGGGCCGAACGAAAGGGGGGGATAGGGAAAGGGGGGGTCTCGAAATCTGCCGCATGCAGCTGGTTCGGCCCCGCGAGGCGCTGGGAAAATCAGCTACGTGAGCTGATTATTTACCCTACATTTTGCTATCCCCCCCTGTCGTTCCCCCCGAGGCACCCGACGGTATGAGTTTTTCCATGCGTAGGTCCAAAGGTCTTGATTCCTTCCCTGGGGCAATGTTTCGCGCCCCAGATCCATTTCTGATGGTAGGGTCTGGGATGGGCGCGGGATTTGCTTAGGGGACAAGGGGGGTTATCAGTCAATTCCAAGGTTGTGCATCTCTGGCCTGGCCTAGCCCATAAGTGGGTTACAAAGGCCTCAAGTGGGGCAAGGGGGGTTACGATTCGGGCTCATTGGGTTCCGACGGTTCCGCCCACTTTGCGCAGTTATCTATCCCTCGTGATCCATATGTAGGCCAGGTCCGGCCAGATACAACCCACCCTGGCATCCATTGACAGACCCCCCGATCCCCTCTGCACCCTCCTCGCCGATCCCGAAGTCTACGAAAGACCCCTTGACTAGCAAGAATCGATCGTCGGAGACTTGTGGAGTCCGAAACCCGGATAGCAGGGCGCCAGAAGGACGTGCGAAGGCCTGTCGAAAGAGCCTGGAAGCTCCCGGAGAGAGAGCTCCCGGAGGACCCTTCTGCAGAGCTTCCGGGCAAACGATTGGGAAACGCTCTGA